GGTAACTTTTGGTGCATGACGATAAAATGTATACAGTTTCTTATAGACGATAAAAAGTCGACTGATTTTGACGAATCACGTTAATTTTTTTCCAAAAATAACGATAACGATAATTATTTGAGACCTCTGACGAATCACGATAAGGATATTTTGAAGAATCACGGTAAAATTGTAACCAATTTGACGCTAACGGTAGCCGAAAATGACGGTTTGGCGGTAAAGGGCATTCCTACCCTAATGTAATAAGATATAATGCTATAAGAAAATACTATATTTTGTTAACGATGTAAGTTTTTGGTTTGAAACTAACATGAAATTATTATAGAAGGAAATATCTTTCAAAGTAATTAGTCAACAGCAAAATTATAAGTTGTATACCACTATGCAATAGAAAAAACGAGAAGACTAAAAACAGCAAACCCTCCCCCCATAAAAAAATAATTCAAGGATCACTGATGAGTCTTATGTAGACGAATCGCGCGTCTGCATGGCGTAACAACTTATAAGCCTGGTATCATATAAAGTTTGTGCTGTTGCACATGCATTTTCTGTATAACCAGTGTTAAGACTCTGTTTCTAACTGGATTTTCTTGAGTTTCATGACCATCATATGTCATTTGCTAGAAACAATTGATTGTGCGTCTTTCCACATGTATAAAAGGAATCTTATTTCCATCAATTAAGGCTTCCTTAACTGTCCATTTCATTTTTTGTTTTATGTACCAAATAGCTTATGTAACAAATAATTTCACCGTCCTAATTATTAACATTTTCCACTGAACGGTAAGCAACCAGCAATGTTCAATCTACAAATAATCACCCCCCCCCCCCTTTCCTTAATATGAGGGCCTATACGTATAAGCCAATTAGCATAGAGGTGTTAAAGTATATGTTGTCCCTCCTAACTGAAGCTGCCCCAGAAAACTACTATAATAAATAAACTTACAATTTACAAAAGATGTTTAATTACTTTTTTGATTTTATTATAATTGTATTATCATTTTATTATTATTATTATTATTATTATTATTATTATTATTATTATTATTATCTAAAAAAAATTTAAACCATGGAGAACAAAGTTTACGTATAGTTGTGCTTCAACTTGAGCATTGCACTTTATCTATGGTTACCTTTTCCCACCGAATCATACCAGATACCGTAATGGCTGTTTACCTCAAATTCAAATATTTGATAATTCAATAATCATGTTTCCACAACCGTTATCTTTCTTATTGATTATTCGTAATAACCGATCTGAAGTCTCAAGTATCCTATACATTGATTATGTTTGATAATTGAGTGTTAATATGTTGTTATCATACCCCTAGATAGTAAGTGTGTATACATGTGTATCATAATACTTTGATCCGAAAGTATAAAAATGCAATACGAGTGCCGATACACAAAAGATGATTTCAAAATATTAGCCATTTTCGTCATTTGAATAGTTCACACTACATGTTTTAGTTCAATTTGATACTTCAGATTCTATTGTCTGTCACTCAAGGCATGCTACCTGAACATGTGACTTCATAATCGATAATCATGGAGAAAAGCTTCAAGTTTTTTCTGTTGGGCGTTGTCTGTTTTGTATTCGTGGCTGCTATTCTTGTAATTTCGTCTTTTGCATACGTTGATTATTACGAGGTAAGTTTCAGCTCAAATTCAATCATCCCTCAGATTTTTCTGACATCGCATGTCTTTCTTGTGAATATTAAATGTGCACCATTTGTTCCTTTTATGCCATTTCCTTTTACCATAACGCATCTTTATTTATCTTGGTAAAGTCAGTCGCCTCTGAAAAGGAACACATTAATTTCAGTCAGTAGGAAAACAAATCCGGGTTTACACATGTTCAGATAAGAAGGTCTTGTTTTGTCTCGTACCTAAGTCCCCTCTCCAAACAACAACAGACACAGACAACCAAACAAATATATATATTTAATTCTATTTCCATTCTCATCCTATATAAAACGAAAAGTAGAAGAAAAATGCCCCCTCCCCAACATAAGTCTGAAAAAACCGACAACGCCATAGTGAAAAACAACGATCACGACGATAAGACGATCAAGTTTACAAAACAATACACAGAAAACTAAAGACTGAGCAACACAAAACCTCCCCCCACAAAAAACAACCAAACAACGGGGGTAATCTCAGGTACTCCGGAAAGGAAAGCAGTTCTTGTTCCAAATGTGGCAACGGTTGTGATACGTCACATTCGATGATATCACAATCAGTCACAAAGTTTAAAGAGCATGTTTAAATAAGAGGGTCATATTCTCTCAATACCAATTTTGATTTATTTAGGAAGAAAAATAGGAAATTCAACACACTTATAATACAAAATTGTTATCCAAAACGTTTTTTTAATATAACCAATGCATTCTTCACCTATGTACTGACTTGGACTTAACTGACCGACGAAGTAGAATAAGCGATGCATTAAACTAAATCATGTAACACAGTAACAAACATCAGTCAGGCAAATTTGGACAATACTATCTATATAAGGTCACTATTGAGACATTAACTCAACAACACAAATTTTGAATTAAGACAATGTAAGAGTTGAGATGAAAGTCAACGAGTGGACTGCAACAACACAACTTAACAAAATTAATTAAACTCTTATTTGTAGAAAATATTGCGATCGAATAGAACTTATATAAGAATAAGAAGATGTGGTATGATTGCCAATGTGACAACTCTCCACCAAATACCAAATGATATTATAGAAGTTTACAACTATATATAGGTCACTGTACGGCCTTCAACAATGAGCAAAACCCATACCGCATAGAGCTATAAAATGCCCCGAAATATATCCATATGTTAAAATAGACCACAATTTCTCTTCCACGTTATTTCAATCCACGTTAAATTTAGACTCTACTGGATAGTTGTATCATTGGCAATTATACCACATCTCACAATTTTACATGATTTGTTTTAAAGTTACTTCTATTACGACCTGTTATCGAACCTGGTTCCAAGGCACCATAAGCTATTAATCTACTAACTGAATTTAAATGATTCTCCATAAGTTAAATCAGAGCAGATGATTCTTACTATGTCAGGGGTCATGGGGTCGATCCCCGACTGGTACAGTGTTAGTTTGGAAATGAAAATTGATCATGTTTTGGAGTTAGCAGATATAAATAAGAAGATGTGGTATGAGTGCCAATGAGACAACTATCCATCCAAGTCACAATGTGTAAAAAGTAAACAATTACGGTCAAAGTATGGCCTTCAACACGGAGCCTTTGCTCACACCGAACAAGCAAGCTATAAAGGGCCCCAAAAAGACTAGTGTAAAACAATTCAAACAGGAAAACCAATTAACGGTTTATTCTATATAAAAAACGAGAAACGAGAAACACTTATGAACCACACCAACAAACGATAACCACTGAACATGCATTTTATCTGGCTACATACTAGGAAATGGAAGTATGTACCTCCTTAGTATGGGGAAGTCCTTTTTATAACATGTACATAGGTTTCATATAATTCACAGTCTCATGTTGGAGGAGGAATATTTTCTCTACTGATGTAAGATGCAACAGACGGTATAATAAGAATAAAAACAAATAGTGTCTGTGTGTAGGTGATATACAAGACTTTCTAAAAGTGTTAATGTTTCACAGATTGTCCACTAAAGAATGAGATATAAATTTTACATCCAAATTAATCATTTAAAATCATTAATGTATGATAACAGCTTAATTTTTTAGGGCCTGTTTGATTATTATTTTTTTTTTAATTTTAATTAAATTGATACCGATATACTTCTAAAAAGATTCAAATCATAGAAATCTGCTGCCATATTTTTATAATTATAGATACATCTTATATGATTTTACAACTTTGAATAAAGGAAGCTTTTGACTAAGATATGATCAAAAATATTTTTGTCATGAGAGATTTAAATACTATTTTATTCCAATTAAGGTCCCCGAAGGAAATAAACATACCGATATACTTCTAAAAAGATTCAAATCATAGAAATCTGCTGCCATATTTTTATAATTGTAGATACATCTTATTTGATTTTACAACTTTGAATAAAGGAAGCTTTTGACTAAGATATGATCAAAAATATTTTTGTCATGAGAGATTTAAATACTATTTTATTCCAATTAAGGTCCCTGTTTTACATCCAAATTAATCATTTAAAATCATTAATGTATGATAACAGCTTAATTTTTAGGGCCTGTTTGATTATTATTTTTTTTTTAATTTTAATTAAATTGATACCGATATACTTCTAAAAAGATTCAAATCATAGAAATGTGCTGCCATATTTTTATAATTATAGATACATCTTATTTGATTTTACAACTTTGAATAAAGGAAGCTTTTGACTAAGATATGATCAAAAATATTTTTGTCATGAGAGATTTAAATACTATTTTATTCCAATTAAGGTCCCCGAAGGAAATAAACATACTATTAGTCTCATGTTAATCGTATATATTTGGGGCATTGCTGACAAATACATCTTCAAGTTTAACTTTTTGCCTTACAATACTAAATTCTGGTTATGAAATATTTGCAATGTCCTTTCACGATATTGTTTGTGAGGTTTCAAATACAGTTACATTTTACAAATCTTCCGGTTTCCTGTTTTCTGAGATTTTATCATGATAAATATCTTAGTTTTTCCTCGAAATACTATTTTTTGCTCATGAAATTTTATAGGATTTCTTATACAAACATGTTTTTTTTTTATGTTTCAAATAGTTACTTTGTAAAAGATGTTACTGTATGCATATCAATGATGATTTCCCCGTGTTCAATGATTTTTTTGAATATATAAAAACGCTATTTTTAACCCAAATCATTAATTTCGAACATTAATATCTTGGTAGAATTTTAGTATATCAAACATGTTGATATCCTGGACGCAAAAACATAAACTGTAGAGTCAGTCTGGTTCAATAAGCATTTTCCCTGCGTAAATTGATCGAACAAGGAAATAAGTTTGAGTTATCTCCCTTTAATCATTGTTTTCATTTTGTAAACATAATTCCTTGTTTGTGATCGGATTAAAGATTAATAAATAGTGTACAGGGTGAAATAGGGTGTGTTTACATGTAAGTGTTACACTACACTTGTCTTAATTACCCGGATACGGATGTGGTGTTGTGTATTTCAAAATATTAACTTCGAATTTTTAATACCTGTCCTATGACGCTAATCAATATACAATTCTTTTAACGATGGAGGGTGGTACAATAAAAATTATTGTGATAGCAGTTTTGGCTGTACTTGGATTAGCAGCTATTCTTATTATATCTTCATTTAGTTATTTGGATTATTGGGAGGTGAGTACAACATGTAGAATTAATCATTAATTGTTTGTATATGTCACATTCCACGCTTCGCCAAACAATCTATTTTTATTTACCTAGTTGTCGTTAAAAAATGCGTTCATATAAATCCCTGTTTCACAAAATGACAATGGCTACCACCATTAACCGACCAGTAACGGAGTGTTCTCTTCCCGGCTTTGGGAGAGAAGAAAAATAATCATCGGACGATTAAAACATGTAAAAGTTTGAATTAATGATATGTGCATGTATACTTTTTCTGTCCTATAGTTCGTATCCTAGGCTAATTACACGCTTCATTCAATGACATTGTTCACTCATATTCACACTACTATATATGTCTTTTATATTTAAAGTTTATTGTTAGCTACATCTGAGAATAGTATACTATAACACTACAGTAGCGGGTTCAGGGGGAGGGGTACGCCCCCTTTGATTGGAAAATATATCATTAAAATTGAGAATGGAAATGAAGAATATATCAAAGAGACAACAACCCTACCAAAGAGCAGAAAACAGCCGAAGGCCACCAATTGGTCTTCAACACAGCGAGAAAATCCCGCACCAAAATCGTCCAAAATTTTGTTTGTCTCGCTACGCTAGGCGCTATTTCTTTACTTTTACGGAAGTACGGCCCCTTTAAAAAATCCTGGATCTGCCCCTGCATAATTATGTCTCAGGCTACATGTAAATCATCCCGATATTATTTTTTGACAAGATAAACAAACCGTATATCTTGATTATGTGTCGCTCGTTGTTGTTTGTCTCTACTTTTTTTTCGGAGGAGTCGGGGTGCTGGTGATTGTATTGTCCAATAATTTGGTAATTCCTATTATCCTATCCAGTTATGTATTAAACATGAGCCTCTGGCCTTAGTTAGTCTTGTATCATTTTTAATTTTAGTTTCTTGTGTATAATTTGGAGTTTAGCATGACGTCCGTTATCACTGAAATAGTATACGTATTTGTTTAGGTGCCAGCTGAAGGACGCCTCTGGGTGCGGGAGTTTCTCGCTGCATTGAAGACCCATTGGTGGCCTTCGGCTGTTGTCTGCTCTATGGTCGGGTTGTTGTCTCTTTGACACATTCCCCATTTCCATTCTCAATTTTATATGAATGACAAAGAGAAAACAAATTTTTAATCTAGATACATGATATAAAAGGATTTAGAATCACTCAACTAAGAGCAGGGTTCTCACTAAGGCGAGTCCATGAGTCCTGGATTCTATGAAAATCTGTTTGGACTCATTATTTTCAAAACTGGTGAGTCCAAAGATGCATCAAGATTGTACCACATATATCATCATTTTATTACAAAAGTTCAAAGATAATCAAATTTGATGTCATTTCCTTGCTCTATTTTTGTCATGGTGACTGAAATGATAAACCATATAGCAATAACATTTTATCTTCTCAGTTGGACTCGTCTTGACCAAAAATGACGAGTCCTTGGACTCGCCTTAAAAAATCCTAAATGAGAATTCTGTTGAGAGCCCCCCCCTCCTTAAACCAAAAGTACTGACGACGATAGATGTTTATGAATGATGACTTCCCGTAACCATGGTAACAGAAGGTGACAATATGTCCGTACTTAGTCCTGTATTTCAAGACTAAAAGTTTGCTTATACAACGTAACGGTCAATGAATGAAAATGTTTACATTTTTCAATGTCTTTAAGGGCTAAGCCTTCCTAAATCTTGAGATACTACCTAAATCAAAGAAAGTTCAAATACCTACAAGTGTTTTTCAACTATACAACGGAGACTATAAGTTGGCTTAGGTTGTAAATTAAATTGTTTTATTATGTATATTGTAATCAACATATGAAAACATGTTTTAATACATGCAAAATTCATTTGTCTAATACAATATTTTCGCAACGAATCGTACAGTATAAAAAATTGACATTCTTATGTATAGATAACGAAGCGTACACCAATTTGAAAATAAAGACGCGTAAAAACATATTTTGTTGTTTCTAGATAGCAAATAAACCTACAATCTTTATTAGTTTGTTAAGTTTGCACGATGATATTTTCAAAAGTGTATGTTGTAAAACAATATGAAGCACAGGAAATTTAAAATTTATAACTATTAAAAAAAAGTAAGCATGCTTTTATCAGTGACAAGGTCGTGTGTATTATATATGTGTTTTTTGTAATATTTTCCCGATATATATTTTAAAAACCTTGCAGTAAGTAACGAGTAATACAACAAAGAATATATTGAAGCAAAATATCCGAAGAATACATAATTTTTATTGGACTTTCCTTAAAAGTCCTAACTCAGTGGTACACAATGTTTTCGATTCGAGTGCGTCCGGATAGATTTGTAATAGCGTTATACGAGATGATTACGGTGATTTTATCCAATATAAAATACAAACATATATATCCTTGTGCATCTAAACATTTAAAAAAATAATAAAAAAAAAAGAAAAGATAAAATTCATAGAATTTAATTTGTTCTTGTATATAAAAAATAAATGCCACGAATGCACATGTATCTCAGAATTTTAATTGGTGTAACTTTAATTTAACTTTGTGTACTATGTTGTTAATAGGTGTTTTTGTTATATATAGAAGCAATTACAGACCGATTAAGTTTGAGGCGTACCGATAACGTGTTCCCCCTAGATCGATTTTTGTTTGTTTTTGAAATGATGAATGTCAAATTATATAAAGAATTAACAATTGTCTGGAGTAGTAATATTTCGAAGTTGTGTGGTATATTTTGGTCGTTGTGTCATGTCTGTGGTATTTTCCGGTATTCCGTGGTGCACTGTGGTAAAACGACGCTCATTGGGCTGTGCGGTTATTGTACGCAACCACGTCCGGTCGGATTGGGACATTAATTCCAAAGTGGCTGGTGTTTACTAAACCCTTGTTTCGCGTAGCAATACAAATTCCCGGCCCTTTTGTCCAATCGACCTGATTGGTTAATATGCACGGCTCGTTTACCACAGCCGTGCAGATTAAATGACATATACCTTTTTGATTGTTCAATAACTATTACGTATATACTGAATAAAGCAGGCAAAAAAAAAAATAAAAATCATCTCTGTAATGTTCACAAAGTATACAATATGCAAATCTGTATAGTCTGAAGACAGGATCGATGACGTTTATTTATCATTTGCACATATTTTGTTTGGTTAAGAGTTTGATACTAATTGTAATATCCGTAGCATTACCTTTAGGGTTATATGTATTCTTTTAATGCAAGTTATTATATTTTACAGTATGGATTAAAACGACAAAAGTCAACAGGAAGTGTTGATAAAACAGAGATATATGACAGTGGCAGGTATTTCGTCGGTCCAGATTTTGAATTTAAAGTTTTTCCTTCGGATCTGCACTATGTTGAATTGGAGGATGCAAAAATATTTACCTCTGATAAACTTGAAGTAAGTAAATATATAGTATGGAAAGCCTCAGCTGTCATATATTAGAGATTTACAAAACGTTATGCTGAAGCTTAAAATGTAAAGTTAAGACAGCGTGATGTTGAATTGAGTCACCAAAATGCTAACTCTAAATTACAATATGCTAAGTTGAATTGCGCAATGTTGACTTGCAATGACAAGTGCTTTAGTCGTGATAGTATAATGATAAGTCACGATGTTGTGATGATATGCCAAACACGCGTAACGTTGGGTTTAAAGTACATGATGTAAAGTTGACGTTGCATGATGTTAGCTTGCAGATTGATACTGCTTAGTCATCCATATCGACAGCTATGATAACAAATAAAATGAATAGCTAAAATGTATGGTGCTGACTTGTTATTAATAAATGTTGAGCTGAGATAGTACGATGTTATATCATTGTGATATTACGATTGGTCTATCATGCAATCTGTTGATTTACAACACCATGATGCACAGTTGAAAGTACATGATGTTAAGTTAAGATAACACGATGCTACACCACTATATTGAAACGAAAGGTTTACCATACAATTTGTTGACTTAAAACAACACGATGCAACGTGTTAAGCTAAGATGCTCACTGGAAACTACAGGACGTACAGTTGAAATTTTGTAATGCTAAGCTACGATAGCACGATGTTATATCATTATAATGTCACGATAGGCTTACCACACGATATGCTCGTTTAAAACTACACGACGTACAGTTGAATGTACGTAATGTTGAGCTATGATAGCAATATCTTATATCATAATAATATCACGATAGGCTTGCCATACAATATGCTCATTCAAAACTACACGACGTACAGTTGAAAGTACGTGTTGTTCAGCTACGATAGCACGATGTTATATCATTATAATGTCACGATAGGCTTATTATACAATTTGCTCATCTAAAATTACACCACGTACAGCTGAAAGTTCGTGGTGTTAAGCTACGATAGCACTTTGTTATATCATTAGAATGTCACGATAGGCTTACCACACGATATGCTCATTTAAAACTACATGATTTTCAGTTAAAACTAGGTGATGTTATGCTAAGATAGCATGTTGTTATATCATTTGAATGTCACGATAGGCTTATCATACAATATGCTCATTTAAAACTACACAACGTACAGTTGAAAGTATGTGATGTTGAGCTATGATAGCACGATGTTATATCATAATAGTATCACGATAGGCTTGCCATACAATATGCTCATTCAAAACTACACGACGTACAGTTGAAAGTACGTGTTGTTGAGCTAAGATAGCACGATGTTATATCATTATGACGTCACGAGAGGCTTATTATACAATGTGTTGACTTGAAACTACACGATGTTAATTTGAAGTAGTTTGGTCTTGACTTGAAACAGTAAAATGTTAAGTTATAAAAACAGAACTTAAAGTCAAAATAAAACAATGATAGGATGACATATACTTGTGCAGAATTGAAGATTTTTGGTGTTGACTTCGAATATACATGTAGTACAAATATTAGATCGTTTTATGTTAAATTGAAAGACAATAATGATGCGTAAAACATTACAGAATTATGTGAATTGAAACTGCAATTCTATGGAAAAGAATGAGGGACAAATCCCCAGGATTTTTTCTTCTTCATTTTCAAGTTCGGAGGCAAAATGATATACAAAGAAAGTTTTCCATAAATTCATAAAGCAAAAGTATTACCCATCGCTATATATTACACTTGAATATAGTTTTGCCGTATATTTTACATGTTTTGTTTGGATTTTTTTTTTATGATTAAAAACCAGACTTTTTTTTGTGAACAATATTTAAGAAAATATTTATCTATGTTGTGTGTTAATATATACAACATAATATTGTGCTTATAAGACTCATGACTGTGATGGTCAAATTTTACTCATATAAAATCACATCTATGTAAGAGTTAACGGAGAATTTGTATTTACCTCTCCCGTTTTCCACGAAATAAAACATAAGAATCTGGAGTCTTAATCTTAAAAAACAAAGATCAACTGATATGACAAATAATACGGTAAAGCGTAGGACTGAGAGGGTCAGAGCTATATGAGAACGTGACACCCACCCCCGGCCTTGTTTAGAGGTATCTGAAAATTTGAATTTTCTTTTCCACGAAATAAAACAAAAAGAATTAATAGGTGATTGAATCCTACTGCATGGGGCCAACCCAAACATAAAGTATGGTAGATTCTGTTACTTTTCGCTCATACATGGTCTATATGAAACCTAATGAAATTTGACCTACAGCCTCCAGTCTAAATCGTCAACTTTCAAAAAAAAATACATCATTTACAGCAGTGCCAACCATTTTTCCAGGACCAAGTAAGATAGTACCCAGGTTTGTGTATATATCCACTCGGAGAATATTTTATTTTTTTTAAATTGTAAAGTCATTAATGGACAATGACCCCTAAAACTTATAATAAGAAGCCAATTAATGATTTCCGTCACTTATTTTCTTGTCCATAGTGATTTTCTTGGTTCTTTACAGCTTCTCTCTATCTATATGTGTTTTCAAAGAAAAAGAAAAAAATCAAATATCTGTAAAAATTGTTAAAGTCCATGAATTATTTTGGTATCAACAGTTTCTCTCTCTCTTATGGATTTCATGAGTGTGGTCTAAATTAAAATCGGTTTATCATTTGCCAAAATGTAGTTTATTCTTTTTTGAAAAACATAATAAAAAGTTTGGGCCACAGTATATTTTGCACGCTACAGGTTATGCAGTATTGTCAGATTTTGTATAAACTATACATGGAAAACTCAATGTTAGAAAATAAAAATAAAAATTGGGATCACGAGACTCGTTTTCTGTCTACAAAACAAAAAAGATAAAGTCCCTACACATTCCATCATTAGAGACGAAATATGCCAAAGGGATTTCTAACTCATAAGTCGAAAACAGACTCACAATGCCATGGCAAAAAATTAAAAAAAATATGCAAAAAACGTTCTTTTATTCAACAACAAATAGTCGTTTTAATCAGATAAATCTCACAATTTTCTTCATCAAGATGAAAAGTACTACATATGAATAACATTCCTCTCTCAAAATGTTTATATTTTTTTAGATCTAGACCGATTGTGTTGAGCTATATGAGAATCTAAGGGAGCTACCATGTGATTTTTAGGGGGGGTGGGGGGGGGGGGGGGGGGGGGGGGGGGGGGGGGGGGGGGGGGGGGGTGCTAGGACGAAAAATGTTGTCCTGCCTTTTTTTTAGTTGTAATCTCTGTCCTGCCTTTTTATTTTTCACTCTATTCAGTCCTGCTTTTTTTTATTAGTTTATTCTGAGCTTATGCCATCACTTGGCGTCCGTCGTCGTCCGTCGTCTGTCGTCGTCGGTCGTCGTAAACTATTTCAAAAATCTTCTCCTCTGAATCTACTGGGCCAAATACCTTCAAACTTTAACTAAATGTTCCTTAGGGTATCTAGTTTATATATTGTATCCGAAGTTTTGATCCATCGACAAACATGGCCGCCATGGCTAAAAATAGAACATAGGGGTCAAATGCAGTTTTTGGCTTATATCTCAAAAACTAAAGCTTTTAGAGCAAATGTGACATGGGGTAAAATTGTTTAATTGGTAAAGATCTATCGGCCCTGAAATTATCAGACGAATCGAACAACCCATTGTTGGGTTGCTGCCACCGAATTGGTAGTTTTAACAAAATTTTGCAGTTTTTTGTTATTATTTTGAATATCATTATAGATATATATAAACTGTAAGCAGCAATAATGTTCAGCAAAGTAAGATCTACAAAAAAGTTAATATGACCAAAATAGTCAATTGACCCCTTAAGGAGTTATTGCCCTTTAAAGACAATTTTACACAATTTGTTCATCAAGTTTGCTAACATTTAAAAATCTTCTCCTCTGAAATACAGGTGAGCGATTCAGGCACTTGAGAGCCTCTTGTTTTTACATAAATTGTCATCCTGCCTTTTTTTTGCCAAGTTGCTCATCCTGCCTTTATTTTACACAAAATTCCTGTCCTGCCTTTTTTCAAATTTCATTCTAGCCCCCAATAAAAATCACATGGTAGCTCCCTAAGATGGCGGAAGACACTCGATCTACCCCAAGGGCAATATGTCTAATGAGGAAGAAATTTACAATTTCGGTCACGTCGAGTTACTTGTAGATCTCCTTTTGTTGAAAAGGGTTTCTGTTTTCATTTATCTATCTATTATACTGTTCAGGGGGAGGGGAGAATCGAAAAAAAAATACACAAAAATGGATAAAAGAAGGCGAAAGATACAAAAGGGATAGTAAAAATCTTAACCAAACTGACAATGTCATGACAAAAACTCATGAGCCGAAATAAACGAGAGAAAAAAGATCAAAAACCAAACAACAGTATATTAAGCGCAACATATAGAAAACCAAAAACTGAGCATCACGAAACCCTCAAAAAAGGGGTGATCTCAGGTGCTCCAGAAGGGTAAGCAGATCCTGTTTCATATGTGGCAACCGTCACTTGGCGATTTTGCAAATAAAGAAGGAATGTGTTATAATTTTCGAGGAAATCCCAAAAAAAAACATGAACTACAGGGTGTCAAATCGATGAACGTGCTTAAGATAGGCTCCTTTTCATAAAAAAGAATTGATGAAAATGTATTTGTATTTAGTGTACAGTGGCAAATATTACATGCATATAAGGACTAGAATATGTAAGTGTAATATGAATATGAATAAATCTTGGCTCTGTACAAGACATATTTTGCTTGCTTAGCCGAATTTTTAACAAACTAGTTGACAAACCGACTCTGACAATCTATGGAAATCCAAATAGCATCGGTTTTGATTAAGTCCAGATTTTTTGGTTTTATTTCGGGGAAAAGGGGTGCGTTTTACGTACAGTGGCAAATATTACATGCATATCAGGACGAGAACATGTAAGTGTGATATGAATATGAATAAACCCTTCTTTGTTACAAGACATTCTTTACTTGCCTAGCCGAATTTTCAACGAAATAGTCGACACACTGTCTCTGACATTCTATGGAAATCGTAATCGCATCGCTTTTGATTAAGTCCAGATTCTTTTGTTTTATTTCATGGAAAAGAAAATTCAAATTTTCAGATACCTCTAACAAGACCGGGGGTCACATTCTGATATAGCTCTGACCCTCTCAGTCCTGCGCTATAATCGTATTATTTGTCATATCAGTTGATCTTTGTTTTTTTAAGATTAAGACTCCAGATTCTTATGTTTTATTTCGTGGAAAACGGGAGTGGTAAATACAAATTCTCCGCTAACTCTTACATAGATGTGATTTTATATGAGTAAAATTTGACCCTCACAGTCATGAGTCTTATAAGCACAATATTATGTGGTATATATTAACACACAACATAGATAAATATTTTCTTAAATATTGTTCATAAAAAAAGTCTGGTTTTTAATCATAAAAAAAAAAAATCCAAACAAAACATGTAAAATATACGGCAAAACTATATTCAAGTGTAATATATAGCGATGGGTAATTCTTTTGCTTTATCAATTTATGGAAAACTTTCTTTGTATATCATTTTGCCGCCGAACTTGCAAATGAAGAAGAAAAAATCCTGGGGATTTGTCCCTCATTCTTTTCCATAGAATTGCAGTTTCAATTCACATAATTCTGTAATGTTTTACGCATCATTATTGTCTTTCAATTTAACAAAAAACGATCTAATACTTGTACTATATTCGAAGTCAACACCAAAAATCTTCAATTCTGCACAAGTATATGTCATCCTATCATTGTTTTATTTTGACTTTACGTTCTGTTTTTATAACTTAACATTTTACTGTTTCAAGTCAAGACCAAACTACTTCAAATTTACATCGTGTAGTTTCAAGTCAACACATTGTATGATAAGCCTCTCGTGACGTCATAATGATATAACATCGTGCTATCTTAGCTCAACAACACGTACTTTCAACTGTACGTCGTGTAGTTTTGAATGAGCATATTGTATGGCAAGCCTATTGTGATATTATTATGATATAAGATATTGCTATCATAGCTCAACATTACGTACATTCAACTGTACGTCGTGTAGTTTTAAACGAGCATATCGTGTGGTAAGCCTATCGTGACATTCTAATGATATAACAACGTGCTATCTAAGCTTAACATCACGTACTTTCAACTGTACGTTGTGTAGTTTTGAATGAGCAAATTGTATAATAAGCCTATTGTGACATTATAATGATATAACATCGTACTATCGTAGCTTAGCATTACAAAATTTCAACTGTACGTCCTGTAGTTTCCAGTGAGCATCTTAGCTTAACACGTTGCATCGTGTTGTTTTAAGTCAACAAATTGTATGGTAAACCTTTCGTTTCAATATAGTGGTGTAGCATCGTGTTATCTTAACTTAACATCATGCACTTTCAACTGTGCATCATGGTGTTGTAAATCAACAGATTGCATGATAGACCAATCGTAATATCACAATGATATAACATCGTACTATCTCAGCTCAACATTTATTAATAACAAGTCAGCACCATACATTTTAGCTATTCATTTTATTTGTTATCATAGCTGTCGATATGGATGACTGAGCAGTATCAATCTGCAAGCTAACATCATGCAACGTCAACTTTACATCATGTACTTTAAACCCAACGTTACGCGTGTTTGGCATATCATCACAACATCGTGACTTATCATTATACTATCACGACTAAAGCACTTGTCATTGCAAGTCAACATTGCGCAATTCAACTTAGCATATTGTAATTTAGAGTTAGCATTTTGGTGACTGAATTCAACATCACGCTGTCTTAGCTTTACATTTTAAGGTTCAGCATAACGTTTTGTAAATCTCTAATATATGACAGCTGAGGCTTTCCATAATATAGCGACATGACCGATATGTGTGTAAACATAGGTATTTCATAAATTTTAGTTTAAGTTAAAACAAAATACTGGTCAAGAATTGAGACAGCTAATCAAGCAGACAAACATATTGCCGGGTACAGATGTTTTTATATGTCGCTTGATTTATTGACGGATATCAATTTTTTAAAAATGTTCAGGAATTGTATTCGTAAAAGCTCAGCAATAAAGCAAAAAGTGTCTGTAGTTATTTTAAAAGCAGGAACTTGGTACTTGGTCTAAAGACCTCAAATAAGCGATTTTCGAAAAGTTTTGCCTGAAAGAATTTATATCGGATTGGGTTACCGGCCTCTATCTACTTTATGGAAACACAATTGTTATGCGTGACGTCATTTTCATATACAACAGACATGACCGGCGAATTAAAGGCGTGTTAAGCTTTAAATATGTAGGACTCTAAAGTGCGATGGTAACCAATTAGCGATGGTCACGCTAAAGTGCGATGGTCTACGCTAAAGTACGATGGTGAATCACGCTAAAGTGCGATGGTTGTTTGTTTTGCTAAAGTACGATGGTATGTCACGCTAAAGTGCGATGGATCAATAGGATAAGGTTCGATGGCTTAAAACGTTAAAATACATGGATGTTAAAAAATAGTCTTTTTTCACAGGTATAACATATGTGACAGGCTTTAATTTATAATTTACCGGTAAGCTTAAGTGATTGTTTCTAAATTTAGAAGACCGATCACGTAATAATTGCTAAAAAGGTAATTTAGGTGTCCCAAAATACTTTATTTCCTGTGAAAGATTATTTAACAATTCGGGCGTATTAAACATGATTAAAACTTGGATAATTAGTGTAGCTTGCCGTTCACACAGTCTATCAATAATGTGAACACCTCCCCTTACAGTCGTCTTTGTAAATTACAAATACAAAATTCGATCATTATCGGAATATCAGTAACATTTATTTGTACAAGCTTTAATTTAAATGCGAGCGAAAGTCGCGAAATTTGCCGAGCTCTCTCCTTTTTCGTAGCGAGTACACATACATGTTTTATTTTCCTCTGTACAATGTAAAAACTATGTTTTAGACGACAGTTTATAATTTACGCTTGAAAACATGAACCTTTATTTTACCGATGTTACTTTTCAATAAAATCGACAATATTTTAACGGGGACTGCAAAGTAAACTGCAACGTAAACAATGATTTAATCAAATGTATTCGTTCGCTTACAATAGAAGCAGGATACAGGATACCTATGCGTATACTATTTTGTATCTATATAGTAAAATGGTCAACTGCAGGACACAAGTCGACCTTCCAGCACCTTAATCTGGATCGATACTTTAAACTCTATCTCCGAGGTAGAGGTGGATTCAAGGCTGGGTATGCAAAAGATCCGCTTCCTTATTTTTCGAAAATTGTGTTTCCTTGGTACATATAATTATATAAACATATATCTACTAGTGTTTACAGTTTTACAGTACCTTCTTTTACATAACAACAAATTCACCAACCTTTCCTTTCAGTTTAGGGATTAACTTGGAACTACCGATGAAAAGTTGCACCCAGTTACTGACACAACTTCTTGTTTCTTGTTTAACGTGCAGTTACAAATATTTCATCCATATTCAGGACGAAAACATTCAAATCGACAATAAATGCGATACTCCAAAAATTCAGTTTAGAGCGAAGTTATTTTCATTTATATACATGTATATATAGGAAAACCTATCAGAGAGTTGTTACCAGGTTTTTTTTAACGGACCGAGAGCCTTGCACTCGCTCTGACTACACGCTGGGGCATAATATTTAACGTCCCAATTCCGGCCTGACATGAACGAAAACGTGTTTCTAGTCCAAATAATGGCGTGTTTAATATTCAAATCTCATTAAAAATGCAAACGATTTTCAAAAAGAGTACTATGCAGTTTTTTTAATGTCCTTGGATCCTCTTCTAATAAAAGTGCATGCTACTGAGAGAACATTTTTTATTACACTAAAGTTTTAATTTTACTTGCAGGTTGACGTGACAGTTAATTTCCAATATGTTATTCGTAAAGATGAATTAATCTCTCTGCATGATACTTATGATTTGGAATATGAAGAAATCATGAAATCCAGTGCTTTGGATGCCTTGAAGGTATGTATCAACAGAGATAATATTTCCTCGTAAAAAATACAAGTATTCTGTTGTAATATATAAAAAGAGCGTGCACGTGAGTTTATTGTCAATTTGTGGACTGTTGTGTTTATGTAGAACATCGTGTGATCATCGTGATGGGTGTTGAAGAGGGGATTTTTTTGAAGATTTAATATTCATTTTTAGCTGTTGCTTCGCATGCTTCTTTTTTTCCGCGGAAAATTTATTTTCAACTTTGTACACAATTATTTACTGTTTTTTGTGTTTCAGAATATTCATTTACTGCATGTCTTTGGCAAGACTATTTATTTTCAGCTCTTACATGTACATTGTACCAGACAATGGTATTAATTTTATGAAAATCAACTGATCTCTCCCCCCCACACACAAAACGAAATGGTCGTCCCATAACGGAGGACGCCAGATGATGGCAATATATATCATCACATTGAGCAGATTACCTGCCTAGAGCTCAATTTTGTTTATAGATATTAGAGACATATATTACCAGAGATCGACAACTAGGCGAAATTTCATGTCATTGGAAATATCAAGAAGATAAACAAAGCTTAAAATAAAGTGATGCGTCAGTATGAAAAAAAGTAGTTTAAAAGATAACTGGAGTTGTATAATATATATGATAATATTTTAGGAGATAAGTAATATTGCCATTTAATAGAATTGCCAATCTCTGTTATCATGATTATATGAAGAAAACTTAAGAAGATGTATAAAAATAATTAAGTTGAAGACAATTTTATTACAAGCTGGTATTTTAAAAGTTAATCTGCGACTTGTTACATTTTATTCAGTCTTGGAGTCTCGATTTACATTGACTAGTATCTTATCCATTTGGACTGTCAGTCCGTTTTCAGTAATCAGGTTAATGCATCGGTGAGTAGCACCAGTAGATCACAGCCAGTTCCCTCTCTCAAACTCTATTATAGATGGAAAATACAAATACGTAGTTCACAGCCAGTTCCCTATATCGGGCTCTATGTATAGAAAAGCACAAATATCATACAATAACGTCTACATCGAAAGGTCATTGAAGACTTTTCAGAAATATATGCATGTTGAATTCATGGTGACTTTTTTCAGGAGGTCCACATTGTATATTAGAGAAAAACACACAAACGACTTTACGTAAACTATAATATATGAACTACGTCGGATAGAAATCGATCTAATGCAAGTGCACGTATACATGTACATGTATAAGACTTGGATTTATTTTGGAATATTCAAATACGAAATAGAAGATGAATTTTGGTCTGTTTTGTAGGATTTTTATATCAACACAATTTTCAAACAGTTGCATACTTTGCAGAGAGATTTTTTTTCAACCCGAAATAGGTTAAGAGATACATATTTGATATTCATTGCATTAGGTTGATTTCTATCCGACGCAGCTCATATTATAATTCCTAAACATAAGTATCAGACATATTATGCACTTGTTATGGGATTGTCAGTTTTTCGGCCGAAAGTCGTTGGTTATCTCCGGGCACTCTGTCCGGCATCCTCTCTCAAATTAAAAGTTTACACCGCGACATAGGTATATAATAGTGCTGAACATGGCGTTTAACATCAACAATCAATCAATCATTTGTAATGAGCGATGGAAGAAGGTTTAAACTGGGTTATCTTATGTTTTCCAGAATAGATCTCAATTAAAAAGAAACTCAACATTACACATGCATTATATACCTTTCTCCCCAAAGCTGTCACCCCAAACACTGTACAAAAAGTATCCCGTACAGTCAAGCTCTCAGAGTAAAGTGAATTTGCTCCTCTGTGGAGGCTGTCACTAAACGGTTACAGGAACTTCGCGGATTTTTGACCAAACGAGGTTATAAGAAATTGGACATCGATAAGGGATTTGCGCGTTCTAACAATAACAGCCGTAATGACCTATTACAGTACAAACAGAAGAGGCGCAACACAATAGTTCCGTATGTTTTAACATACAATCCCGCCTTTGCTAACCTCTGCCGTTTGATCCGTGCCAATTGGCAGATTATTACCAAACATCCAAAACTATCCAAGATCTTTCCCAAACTCCTGTCTTAGCTTTTCGGAAACTAGCAAGTCTGAAAGACTTATTTGTGAGAGCTGATGTATCCTCTGATAAAAGCTCCTCAACTGTAGGATGGTGCAAGTCGTGTGGTAACAGACGATGTCTGACTTGCCAACAAATACTGAACACTCAAACATTTACTTGCCACTCTACTGGGTCCGAATACACTAATATTGCAATGTAACTCGCAAAACCCAGAATGTTGTATACCTTCTTCAGTGTCGATGTGGCATGCAGTATGTTGGCGAGACAGAACAGCCATTCAACAAACGCATGAATGGTCATCGAAATGATTACACCTACAAGCCCGACCTCCTCGTAAGTCGTCATTTGAGATCACAGGGGCACATTCAAGCTGATCTCAAAAACCTTACCATCTATCATAGACCACAACGAGGATTGGTCAAGGGCCGACATACTTGCTCGGGAAAGTTTTTGGATAAGGAAGTTAAGGACAGTTTCCCCAGATGGCATTAATGAAAAAACATAGAATGAGTCCTTCCCAACACTTGTTTCCAGTAACTCAGGCTTCAGTACAGGACTCTTACAGTTTTAAGAAATTTATTCCTCCTCCCAAATATCAATATTGAAAAATTTTACCAGCGTATTGATTCGTGATAATTTGTATAACGATCAAGATTACTATTACAGTGTGACTACCACATGTCAAGATAAGAACCATTTGATATCTTACTGATGAAGGATATTAGTTATCCGAAATATTTAACATTTGTTCATGATTTTATTTTGTACCCTTTTAGACTTGCTTATTATATATATATGTATACATACAGCCGAAATACGTCGGATAGTAAAGAATAAAGTATGTCGCCTGTGTGTTTTTCACTATAATATGACATTATGTTTTTCTGTTGGCTATTAGATATACCATATGATAACATCTTTAGCAAAATTTAGAAAATTGTTTTTTTCATGTTTCTTTATTTGACAGCTTTTGAAATGAATTTGGTTTTTAGCAGTTATATTTACATGCACATTTTTCAAAAATCATTATCTTTGTAAAATCGTCAAGGCTCAGTCTTAAAAGATTTTTTTTTTTCATCAGGAAAATAGCTAGAATCAAATCTAATTGATGTTATACCTAATGTTATGCGACAGTGTAAAAAATAAAATAAAAATAAGGAGCTGTGGTATTGCCAATGAGACAAATATCCACCAGAGACCGCCATGCAGCAACTAGATCTTCACCAATGAGAAAAACCCATACCACATACATAGCAAGCTATAAAAGGCCCCGAAATAAAAGATGTAAAAACAATTCAAACGAGAAAACTAACGGCTGATTTATGTATAAACGAAAAACAAAGATGATATACAACAACAAACGGTAATTAGTGAATTATAGGCTCCTGATTTGTATAGTACACATTCAAATTCAGCCCGCACTTTTTTGTCATCTTTCAATTAAGTTTATATGTTTTTTCTTAAATGTGATGGCGGTTGTGCAATCATGTTTTTTTTCAAAATACTTACTTATCCGTTTTTTTCTGATAAACGGACAAAGTTTTTTTTTGCACTTAACATTTAGATACAATCTTTGGTTAAAGTTTTTGTTTAAATCAATAAATTTATCAAACCTTCAGAGAAATTTATGAAATTTGGACAGAAGCCTATTTATTATTTATGATTGAGAAATGACATCTGAACCAGAATTTGAAAATATGTTTTTTTCTTGTTACTGATGAATGGACTGCTTTGCCGATACATTCACACACGGTTAATATTTTAGAATCATCAAATATTTCTTCTTGGAACGTTATAAAACATGGACAGAAGCTTCATCGTGACCAAGAAATAGCATTTAATGCAAAAGCTTAATTTTTCTCATATTTTACTAATGAATGGGCTGAGTTTATGGCAGTCAACACTGGACATTTACACTGACAGCAGCAATTACAGGCGGGACACAGGGTCCCCCGAATCCTTTACAATTTTGTTACTCTTAAGAAGCTAGAAGGCAATACTAAAACTGTACATTTTCTTTTAAGATTATTGATTCTCGAGTCACTCGGGTTTTGTGACCCTATAACCTTTTATTTTCGATCTGTTTCGTGTATTTCAATGGTATTTCAAAATTTCTAAATAAAAATTTATTTAAACTTGTTTATATTTTTAGGGTGCAATAACTGTGTACACGACGAGAGAACTTATTAACAACAGAGCCGTTATAGAACAAACAGTCTGGAAATCCGTCAGGGAAAGACTTGGTGGCACTTGTTGTAACAGTTACTGTGGACGTTCAAATCCATGTAAGTTAATGGAGTCTGATAAAAAAGTTACATTTCATTTTGCCGTGATAGGTTTCGTTAGGTTTCATATTTCACTGATCTCAAATGTTTATTATGTCATAAATGCGGAAGCGGATTTTCAATTTAAGATGTTTTTTTTTTAACAAATCTAGGACATAATCAATTGTTAATACTATTGCAAGGAATAATTTTATAAAAAAAACAGATTGTACTTAAGAGGGAACATGTTTCCCTATGTAAGGCAACCGTGTAATATACGGGTGTCACCATATTGGACAGTTCTCTGTGAAATAGATTTTACAAATATATGGGTGTCATATTGGACAATGCTCTTAAAATTGACTTCATGGTGTGGGCATTGCTACTTCCTTAGAAACTTTTTCTTTTAATAAATTGCTACTTTCTTTGGAATTTTTCTTTAGTACATTGCTACTTCCTTAGAAACGTTTACTTTGATGAATTGCTGCTTCCTTAGAAACGTTTACTTTAATAAATTTCTACTTCCTTAGACACGTTTACTTTAATGAATTGCTACTTCCTTAGACACGTTTTCTTTTATAAATTTCTACTTCCTTAGAAACTTTTTCTTTGATAAATTTTTTCCTCCTTTAAGCTAGAAACTTTTTCTTTAATAGATTCTGGGGGCCTCGGTGGCCGAGTGGTCTAAATAGTCGAACTACTGTATCACTAGCCTGTCAACTCTGAGGTTGTGAGTTCGAATCCCGCACGGGGCAGGTGCACTCGACTCAAATCTTAATTGACTAGGATTATCAGTTTTCCTACCGAAGGTCGGTGTTCCTCTCCGGGCACTCCGGCTTCCTCCACCAATAAAAACTGACCGCCACGAAATAGCGCAATAGTGATGAAAGTGGCGTTAAACACCAATCAATCAATCAATCAATCAATTTAACAGATTCTGTAAGCTTATTTATTCATTTTGCAAAGGTAGTTTTTGATATATTGTATGTAAATATACTGTCATATCTTCTGACATCACTTTAACTATCACTTTAACAAAAACTCTTAAATATTGAAGGAGATAAAGCCATATATGTGGGTCTTGAGAGGGTTTACAGAAAAGAGCATAATGGGCCAACAGAAAAATGGCCTAAGAAATTAAGAAAAGAAAAAAAAACGGCCAAAAAATAAAAAAGAGAATAATTGGGTGTTAAAATATAAAGAATAGAGAATAATGGGCTAAACATATGAATAGTAGAGTAACATGAAATAAAAATTAATGAATACACAAATGAAGTCCCCCCATCGAGACTCTCATATTACCATTATAATCTCACTTTTCCAGTGTGTTCTACCTGTAAAGTAGTGTGTACAGACTCGGACAAAGGATTGAATGTTGAAGTGAAATATTTCCAGTTAAGGAGAATTAGGATTCCTAGAGATGTTGAGAAACAATTTATACAGGCATTAGTATTGCAGGAGCAAAATGAAGAAGAAAAGCTTAAACAAGACGCTGTTGTCGTTAGAAAGGAAACAAGTCAAAAGGTATTATTGGCGTACTTTAAAAGCCAGTTTTGTGACCCTTAAACTATAATTCGATTAGACGTAAGCGGCTGACCTTTACGTGAAGTTTACATGGCTTCAAGCAATAGAAAGCAAGCTGTGCATAACTTTTCTTGTTGTTTGTAATTGAATGCTTGGTTAACACATTCTGGTCCACGTACAGGGTCAATTAAGAAATTCTGATTAGGACTTTAGGTGTAGCTTATCGTTTTTGACAGAACACACTATCCATGAATATCATCATTCAAAAACAAGTAACTATGAGAAGAGTCACTAGTTGGCCCACTGAAAATCTGATCACTGGCAATGTCCCCATCAATAATAATCAACTAGGTTTCACTTGGATATTAATTCTTGGTATTTGAAAAACTGATGTACTGTAAGCTTTTAAAGAGTGGCAAATGATAGATTTATAAATTTTTAATACTTTGAACAAAAAATAAATGTGATATTTTTAATTAAGGACTATGGACGTTTCCTTTTGCATTCTCCTCCACGATAAATACTATAAGCCTTAGGGTATTGGAAATGCAATTGTATGTAATAAGGAGATGTGATATGATTGCCAATGAGACAATTACCCACCAAAGACCAAATGACAAAGACGTTAGAAAACATAGTTCACCATATAGCCTTTAATAATGAGCAAAAATCATACCACATAGCAAGCTGTAAAATGCCCTGTAGCTTATTTATTAATTCTTAAGGATGATTATAATACGTCTTTAAGATAAAACAAATAAAGGAGACAATGGGTATTCCACCATGAGACAGCTTAAAACCAATAAAGGAGACAATGGGTATACCACTACGAGACAGCTAAAACCAATAAAGGAGACAATGGGTATACCACCATGAGACAGCTAAAAACAAATAAAGGAGACAATTGGTATACCACCATGAGACAGCTAAAAACCAATAAAGGAGACAATGGGTATACCACCATGAGACAGCTAAAACCAATAAAGGAGACAATGGGTATACCACCATTAGACAGCTTAAAACAAATAAAGGAGACAATTGGTATACCACCATGAGACAGCTAAAAACCAATAACAAAAATATATTTTGTAGAAAAATATCTTTTTGGGTAAAGCCTTTGATAATCCAAATACAAAATCTCAAAATATGGGTATTTAAAAATTTTAACAGTGACGTATCATATTGTACTTTCTCCTTTGCAATTCAACTTGTAACTCTTAGATAGCTTTGTTAACTAGATTCATATTCTTTTAAACATGAACAAACTATTTAATTTCAGGTCCTTGTGATTGAGAATGAGGCAAAAGAAATAAGTCAGAATGCAACAGCCCAGGCCACATTGATAGGATCGATTGCTCAGGCTAATTATACAGCCATCTTGGAGTCAGCTCGTTCAGATGGATTAAAACAAGCATTCATAGACTTAAATTTTAACCAACAAGAGCATAAAAATAGTTTCGATTACCTTCGGACAATACGTGGACAAGATAATACTCATCTGACAGTTAACTTTCAGCAAAAAATTGCAGGAAACCTTGGCTCAAACTAACCGTGTGATTTATTCAATGTTTTAATACCCCTATCTACAATAGTAGAGGCATTATGTTTTCTGGTGGGTGTATTCGTTCTGTTTCCTTAATAAAAATGGACAATCCGACATTATGATGTGAACTTTGAAAAAAAAATATGCCATATTAAGAGATTGACCAAAACGTCATGGTTCAGCTATCAGGTTAAAATATTGGTTCGAGGTAGTTTACCATGAAGTTGTGGTCAAATCATCTTGAAACTTATAAATGTTCATTTATATAATAGATTTTTTTAGGTATATACCAAATTAAGGTTTCCACACAGACCTCACAGTTAAATTTTTCCTTTAAGATTTTAAGATTAAAGTGTTGGTTTAAGGAACTTAACCACAAAGTTGAGGTCACATCATTTGAAACCAGGTACACATGTTCATAGTGAACTTTTCTAAAATTTATGCTAAACCAGAGATAGATTACCTTAGCTATATTTGGCAAAACATTTCGGAATTATGGGTCCTCAATGCTCTTCAATTTCGTACATTATTTGGAATATTGTAATTTTCTAATTCGAGCATTACTGATGAATCTATTGAAGACGAAAACTCGGGTTTGGTGTACAAAATTCTATTCCTGGTATCTATAATGAGTTAATTTTCAAGTCAAGACATATCTCTGTCAACAGTTTATCATATTAAATATAGTTATTACTATGTCACTGATAATATATAATTTTTTATTTCAGTACAGAAACATTTTTTAACAACAACCAACCATGTGATACATAATTTTTGTAATGTCGTAGATTTAAAGTGTGTCCCTGAAACTCTATATATCTGTTCATGTGATAACAGTTGTATGTTACCCTTTAATGAATCCAAAATGTTATCAAACAATTTAGAATGAGCATATTCAAAAGTTTCTTCACTGGAAAATTTACTTGAACCAAACAAAAAAAAAAAGCATGTGTGATTGCTTTTATATTAATGTTAACGCACAGTTATTGTTGTTGTTTTGCTGAAATTTATTGTATTTAATGCATTTGTTGAAAATCACACGTTTGAAATGGAATTGGAGCCAATATTGTATAAATCGTCTTAAAATTTATTATATTTGTAACAGAATAGAATCGTTGAAATTTGTGTTAACATATCAATTGCAAAGACTAAGTTTGAGTTTTTCCTAACACGTTTACACATGTAGTTTTTAAATGTTGGTTATAAAACTTTAACCTTTTGTGTTGTGAAGAACAAGTTATTTTTCAGGTTTTTATTTTTGCGATTTTTTATTTTTTCCCCCAAATTCATTCAAATGTAAGGTATTTAAAGTTATGGTAAACCAAGGAAATCCACCACTCATGTTTGTGTGTACAATATATAGGTACTTTTATATAACTGTTACTTTTATATAATTGTTTTATAGTAAGTTAAATTGTTAAAAATCCATATGAATGTACTGATGTGTTTTTAGATTTTAAGAATATCACTTTGATTTGGACAAAAGACGAAGTCATTTCAATAAATGAACTGTAAGGATGGTTGGTTAAAAAATAAGTTTAATGCCATGAAAACAGGGATTGATATTTGTAACTACTCTCAAGTCTTCATACAGTTCTGTTTTATTTGCTGAAAATGTGAGCATGGTCACTCAAGATAAAAAAAACATTGTTTTAAATACTTCATTTATTTTTTTATTTTTATACAATGTATTAATTGCACTGGCACACTTTATTTAGTCTGTGTAGGTAGAAAATGTTTGAGTAATATATTGCACAGGGAAAAATATAGTGCTGGAAACAGTTCACTTTTTTACAATGAAATGAAGAATATTATATGTATATGATATAGTACATTGCTGTTTTAAGTTGTCAGAAACTTTGAATTACATCTCCAGGTCTACCAGTGTATGGATATACCTTATTTAAGAATGGTTACACTTGTGATTATTAGTAGTAAGAACTTTTTTTAAACTAAATACCTTGGTATGTGTATTTGTGTGCTTTATATAAAATGTAAATATTATTTTTATATTATATTCTTATCAAAATATTTTCACATTTGTTTGAATATTTTTTTTGACAATTATTCCAACTTCTTATTGATTTGATTGGTTTTTTTTCTTGCTTAATGTCACCTGGCAATTATGTCATGCATATTCAGAACAGAAACTTGACAATTTTTTACAAAAGGGAAGTTCTGTAAGGTGGAAGGACAGGGTTGAAGGGAGGAAAATTTGGACTGCCAATACAAAACCTTGGTATGTTGGATGTCAACAGTATAGTTCTGTGGCAGACTCTCTTTCCATGAAGGTCTGGATGGGGGTTGTAGAATAGAGAATAATGGGTTAAATGTCCAGAATAAATGACATAAAAAAAGAGAAAAAAAATAGAATTGACAATGATAGGGTGCTGAAATAAAGAGAATAATGGCCAACATAAATAAAGAAAAGGGGATATTGACATAAAAAAATTAAAAGAATAAAGAAATGAAGGACCCCATCAAGACCCTCTTCCATGAAAAACAAACTTGATCCTATTATGAGTTCTGATGGTTTACCTTGCGTTGATGGCCTCACTGTAACTATGAGATAATGAATTGCATTCAAAGTGTTTTCACTTCCTTTTTTGTTTGTCGAATGCATGTAGAGATTTTCTGCCATATCTATAAAAATATCTTAATTCTCGCTATAATTACTAGTATCATACACCACTTACCATACAACAAGTACACGCATTTCCGTCGGTAAACCACTCCCCTTGTTATACAGTATTTTTCTGTAACAGTTTTCTACAGCCGAAAGATTTGGAAGGTGCGCATAATTACAATTCTTGTTTCTTATTGTTTCATCTGTTATTCGAGCGGTGTTTACAAAACATTGTTCGACTTGACAATCACGAAATTAACCATGTGATACTGATTCCGCATGCTTGAAACCAATGTTTCGATAAAGCCTAATAAGAAAAACATATAGCACAGAAACTAAAAGAGACGAAACAGATCATCCCAATCCATATAAGGTCAAAACTGGCAACAGATAGGAATCTTCTACATTGAAATTAGTATCAAATAATTATTTACTAGTACATGTACTACTTTCGGAATAACTATCGTGATTTTGGGTCTTCAAGACACTTCAACATCGTCATTAATTTGATCTTTTAACACTTTTTATTCGAGCATCACTAATGAGTCTTTTGTAGACGAAACGCGCGTCTGGCTTGATCTGTGATGAGCTGTTTTAAAAGCTTGTACTGCTGCTGGAGGACAGTCATTCTAGGAGAAATCTACCCAGTCAGCAGCCTATGCTGTTGTGTGTTAAGTCATTTGAGTAGGCTTTTGATAATCTTAGACAGTTTTGAATTCTACGCATCTGCAATATTTCCAATATTTCTGATTTCAATGCGTTCAAATTGTTACCTTTTGGTAGTAAATGACATATTGTCAGAAGCCTCTGTTTCGATCTTGATATGGCCTAAAAAGTTAAAAGCTATACTTCAGATTTTTCCAATCGGGTCAATGAGGTATTGTACAAATATTTTCTACATTCAATCAAGATTTGGTCAGGACATTCCAGTAAGTGTGACTTAGTAAATAAAAGATAAGCTTCTTAGAACTTTGACAAAAAACTCAACAGTTGTGCATGGCCATGAGCGAACTGCCCGAACGTTTAAAATGTCGAAAACCTGAGTGAGAACAGAGCAAAACTAATTGTTTATTGCAAGGGGTACATATGATGACTTGTTTATTAAGATATGGTCATGTCATTTTTGGCATAAAATTATTCGTACGTTACACTCGAATACGAATACGAATACGAAAGTTTTATTTTGATTCGGTTCACATATAACAATACAAACATAAGCTCTTAAGAGCTTTTTACCGAATATAAGGTAACACAAACACAACATTAAAACACACAACATGCAGACAGGATATATAACAGCACAGTCATATCGAAATACATGCAAAGCACTTTTAAAATACATATCTAACATTAATCTTGATAAGCATAGTTATCATAAATGAAAAAAAAACATTTAACATTGGAAAGCAGACAATCCTTTCTCAAATAATTTACTGTTATTAACAAATAATATGCAAACAAACAACTACGTGTACTTTTAATTGACACACCGGATACAAATAATTGTTATGTATATGGATGTAAACGATTGATCACTACACGTGCTAATTATGGGGTCGGGCCTAATTAAAGGAATTGTAGCAGTTGTAGCTATTTTTCTTGGATTAATCAGTATTCTTATAGTGGCATCGTATAGTTACTTGGACTATTACGAGGTGAGATTTATTCAAAGTAATTTGGTAGTTCTTTATTTGAATTTTGAATTTAATAGCTTGAACGAAAGATACAAGATATCACATAATCTTGAACTCATTTGCATGTATAACATCGAAGATCTCAAAAATCATAACTAGACATTTTGCAATCATTTTCATTATTTTAAATAAATCTGGTTTGTTTTAATGATATCGATTTGTTTTGAAATTTTCAACAAAGAATTATTCACGTCAAAAATACGGCCACATTTTTCTGTTGCAATATTTTTCATGTAATACATATAGTTTGAGTTGGAATCTGGTGGATTGTAAAAATAACGATAATCGTACATACATCTCCTTACGTTATATAACTATTTATTTTACAAAACATAAGGAGATTATGTATGATTGCAGAAGAGACGACCAGAGTTCATCTGTAAGCAACTATAAATCACCGACCTGGATTACAAAACAAATAATTATTTACCAATTAACCAATCTTGTTATACCGAAACAATAAAAGTATTTCATATCCATGAGTTCAAAGTAAAACTATCCCAAGCTTATATTTCGATGTTCGAATATATAATATTATCTATTATCATTCAAACAGCTAAACAAAGGTCAACTTTTTCTACGTTATATTTTCATAACGGAAAGCTACGGGAAACTAACGATTACAAATGAAACAACATGTTTCCTGATGAAATTTAGGAAATCACATTACCCTGGCTCTTGCACCAACAAACATAAAACCTAACCTCTAACCACTTGCAATCAAAATTCAGATTCTGTGCCACTAAAACATAAAGCTTTCCGTGCCTATGATACTGACGCACCACTCCGATGTAGTTAACTTTCACTCTGGATACTGGCCTTGTATACACAACACAATCGCATAACTGGCCGCTGATCAACTATGATAAAAAGTATATCCATGATGCTTCATAATGTTTGTGAAAAACAAATTGATTGTTATGGAAGTAACTGACCTTTGTCTTCGTTATATTCATTTCAGCAAATATCAATGTAATTAAATATAAGGCAACTTCATTACACATTGTACATACGTATCAAAATGTGCTGTCATTCGGTTCCCTTTAGAAAGTAAAAACCCTATTTGAGGTCAAAAAAATTTCAGGCGAATTTCTGTCGTTCGAGGCTTTTGGAAACGTAATAAGTACACAATGTTCTTAGTTAATCCTTATGGGAGTTACATATAGTTGGAAACCCCGCGTCAGAACTGTCAGAATAATATCGCATAGAACTATTCTAGAGGAGTTCTACTCTATGGTAGAACTATCAAAAATATGTTCTAAGGTAGATCTGTCAAAAACTATTTTAGGGTGGTACAATTGTCCGGATCAATTTAAGTATAAAATTGTCTAAATTTGTTGTAGGGTAAAATGTCAGAATTTTTTCTAGGGTAGAACTGTCAGAATCAGTTCTAGGGAAGAACAGATTTAAATTACGTAAAACAGAGAAAAAAGAGAAACAGACAAACAACATTACACAAAACACAACATAGAAAACTAAAGACTGAGCAACACGAACCCTACCAAAACCTGGGGGTGATCTCAGATGCTCCGGAAGGATTAGGAGATCCTGCTCCACATGTGACACCAGTCGTTATGCTCATGTTAGTACAAACCCAGTGATAAATCTAATTCTAACTAAATAAGAAAAATAATTCAGATGTTATTGAAAGTTTTGTCTGGAAAGGATAAATTGAAAAAAAGTAAGTAGTAATAAATAAATACATCACGTTAGAAAAAATGATATAAAAAGCATAAGTTAATGAATAATTATATAACAGATAGAGCTGCCAAAGACTGTTCTAGAGACTAGTGAAACTGCCAAGATCTGTTCTGGTGTAGAACTTAAAAAATATTGTGTCAGAAGCTGTTTTAGGATAGATCTGTCAAAATATGTTATAAGCTAGAATTGCCAGAAACTATTCTAGGTCAGAAATAAACAAAACTGTCGTAGGTTAGACCAGCGTATGTTAGAAACTGTCCAGGTTTCAGGAGAACTTTACCAGAAACGTTCTAGAACAGTTTTCTTAATATTTCCTGACAGATTTTAAGAGAGATTATATAACGGATCTATAAACAATTCAGGTTTAGCTAGCTTTAAAATCGGATTTAACCCAACATTTTCTACGGAAAATGCCTCTACCAAGTCAGTAATATGACAGTTGTTTTTCACTCGTTCCGTTAGGCCACACCAAATTGATTAATAGTTCTTTGGATTTTCCCGCTCCTGATTTGGAGAAATTGACTTTTCAATAAAAAAAAATAATTACCGCTTCCGCCAATTTTTTGGGCCGCATGCCGCTCCAAAATGAGTTTATCCTTGAAATTTTTTTTTCTTAGACGTTTTTCTTGTGCATATATTGCTCCAATCGATTCAAACGCACGTGTGATAAATCGATTTGTAAATAAGAGGTCAAAAATCGGGATGCCAACATGAAGTTGTGTCAGATCATTGCCGAGGACAAGTAGTTATCAAACACACAGTTATTTGAAATGCATTTCGTTTTACCTATGAAGACCTGTTCTAGGAGACAAAAATCGTTAGATGACCACGTTCACATCAGTACTTGTTAGAACAAGTGTCATCTCCGATCATTGTTTCAACAGACATAGTCCGAGATTACTCTGACGTCCAACGGCTGTTTTGTAATACAAGTTGGGGCGCTGTTGTCCCACGGCCCCAGCTTGTCTGGCGAAACACCGTTGGACGTCAGAGTAATCCCGGACTACAAGAGACATAGATAGAGCTATTTGTCTTGGATGAAATTAATATTTAATTCACATAATTTTTTGAGAAAACGAAAAATTTATCTTATTTTGATGATAACCCCATATCCCTTTGTTAGTCTGTTGACATGCAATCAGAACTCTTTTGTAAGGGAAAATTTATGAGTTCCAACGTTCGAGACCATAGTGGTGGTATTGGGATTGACATGCTAATAATAATTAGGGATGTGTTATTGGTGCAACCACTTCCAGTTTGAAATACATTGCAGGTTTCAGGGGCAAAAGTAAAAAGTATTTTGCTAAGTCAGAATAATGCATGTGAATGTGGTTAAAGGTATTTTAAGGGAATGTTTTAATACATTAAATCTACATGGCATTGCATAGCAATATAACTATCTTACTCAGGATGTTGTTGAAATATTCATCACACTCATTATGTTGATCATATTATGGATAAATAGTTCCAACTGTATGTCAAGCAGCCAATAAACAATCATTACCATATAATGAAAACAACTACATGTATATCAAAAGATATTTAATATTTTTCAAGGGCATTTTTTGGAGTTCATACACATATTTTAATTGTATTCAACACATTTCATTTACCTAACTAACATATTAATGACCTGCTATGCTTCCTTAATATATACACATATATAAATTTAAATGAAAATTCACGTAGTCAAAGCTTATTTGACGAAAATAATCAAAAATTATACTAAACCAAAGCGAACCAGAAAGTTGGGTATGGTACAGACTGTACTACAGGCACAAATACATCATATTATATGCATAAGAGCATGTTTCTCCTCCTTTTTCTTTGAATTAACCCAGTTTTTCCATGAACATAAAATTCCAAATCGCACTATTAAAAAAAAATTATACCGCTCGCTCCACTTGAAGAGCACCCGCCTCAACAAAACTCATTTTCAAGAAATAAATACAAAAAAAAAAAATTCGCTCGCTCGCCCCATATTTTTTGAAGCTTTTGTCCGAAGAACTAAAAATCAAATTGGTGTGGCCTTAGTTGAAAACATTTGATTTTGTCGGTTTTTATGGACATCTCCTTTTTTAATTTATCTTGGAGTTCGGTATTTTGTTAGTACTTTTCCACAGATCCAGCTGTACGTAACCACAGTTATAAAAAACAAGTACAGTACCCGTGGTATTTTAACGACATTAATATTGAATAAATAATTCAGAAAGAAGTATAAATGATCAAGTCTGTTTTAGTATCGCAGATTTCATTGGCATACAAGAAAGTCCGAGAGTAAAAATGATAAAGTATTGGAGGATTGCATACATAGAAGGAAGTCCGAAAATACATGTAGTATTACGTCTGAGTGAAAGCGTTAAACATGTTAAAGTTAAACTAGAAAATTATTAGGAAGTAATTCAACTGTACATAAGTATGTGATATGTAAAATGCATTGAAATTGGAGACGCGACTTCTAAATCATTGGATCGCCTTCCTTTGACTAGTAAAAACAATGCGTCACGTAATGTATGTTATGAGCAGGATCTGCTTACCCATCCGGATCACCCGGGGTCAACCCCGTTTTTTGGTGGGGTTCGTGTGTTCAGTCTTTGGTTTTCCATGTTGTGTTTTTTTTTTTTTTCCATGTTGTGTTTTGTTTACTGTTGTTTGTCTTTTGGTCGTTTTTTTCCATGGCATTGTCAGTTTGTTTAGATATCCCTACGGTGTCTTTCGCCTCTGTTTTAAGAAGCTAGTGTGGCAATTAGCGTTTGAGAGGTATTGGAACATTTAACTAGGTCACCAAAACGAGCTAATGAAGAAAGCCAGGATTTCTGTAAAAGTCACAAAGATGGGTTAGCATAGCAATGCGGTATCTGCTTCTATAACGGTCAATTATTTAAAAATACTTAAATCAGTTCTATATAAAGGCAACAGAAGTATACTGCTGTTCAAAAGACATAATCCAATTAAGCAAAAACAAATCCGGGTAACAAACTAAAAGCGAGGGAAACACATCAACTATAAGAGGAAAACAACGGAACAACAGAACAACAGAAACACTGAACTACAACAAAAGCAAACGCAAAACAAAATAATATAGAAACGGACTGTAGATAACAACTGCCATATTCCTGACTTGGTACAAGACATTGTTAGAAAAAATTGTGGGTTGAACCTGGTTTTATGGCTAGCCAAACCTCCCGCTTATATGACAATGTTAACAATACCGCAAACATGACAACACTACGTGACAGGAATACAGTACAAACAAACGCAAGAACACTCAGCACAGAGAAATACATAAATAAATAAATAATACAATAGTACATTACAACATGTTAACCGCAGATTAACAACGGACAGCTTCCACGAATTTACGACAGCACACCAGGACACCACAAACGAAATATAAACTGCGCGTCACATGAATGGACCAACGTCACAAAAAGCGACGTGTTTTTTGTGACGTTTATATTATTACAGGTAAATTTCTAAAAATAACATAGATTTGTTTTATTTGATTGGTATTGAGTTTGTTATGTTGTTATGTTGTTATTTTATGTATTTTCTCACCATGACAAGAATATTAAAATGGAATTGTGTTTGTAATGGTGTTATTATTTGTATTTTCTAAGAATTTCGGTTTTTCTTCTAAATTAAAACTGTATAAACCAAAAAATCCTGTGCATATAGTTGCCCTGCATGTCCTTTTATAAATCTATTTCAGTATGGCTTGAAACGGCAGAAATCTACAGGGAGTGTTGATAAATCAGAAGTGTACGATGGAGGTAGACATTTTATTGGCCCAGATTTTGAATTTAAAGTATTTCCAGCAGATCTCCATAAAGTTGATTTAGACAACGCAAAAGTATTTTCTTCTGACAAATTGGAAGTAAGTCTTGGAAATTAATGTTTTACATTTTTGTTGTTGCAGTAGTACCGATAAACGGGAATTAGCCAGACAATTTTAGATGTGCTTATTTGCGGTTGCACATTTATGTTTTCCTCAGCTAAATGTATGAATCAATGCATTTGTGATATCGGGGCAATTCTGTCTGCACTGTGTCTAGCGCACTTGACCACTCGATCAACTTTGCTAGTAGCGTAATGCCTCTTTTCCACGTTTGTTTTATCGTTTGTCCTAACACAGTACACGAACATAAATGAAAAATAAAAGGAAACAAACCAAAAACGTACATGCACTGAAATCAAAAATGTTTCCATAACATGTTACTACAAAAACACATTACCAATTACAAAATGTATGCTTTATGTGATACAAATGATTTTTTTTTGCATAATTATTCTGGGGCTCTTTGGCTTAATATATCTCTTTCTGTCATCGTATTTAAACAAGCAATTACCCGATCCATGCAGCCAAGAAGCTTCATAAGTGTTTACATCTGTTTATCATTTAACAGGTTCAGGTAACAGCTCATTTTCAATACGCTATAAGGAAGAATGAATTGATCAGTCTTCATGATGCATACGATTTAGGCTATAAAGAAGTCATGAAGTCCAGTGCGTTAGATGCTGTAAAGGTAGGCGATATACTACAACAGAACGTACAAATTCAGGTGTAACAATTTTTAATCGTATTTGAGTTGAAATTATAGCAGTAAGACGTATGCTAGTAATTGATGTAGTTAACTACACCAGTTTTCCAAATATCATGATGGTCAAAACGTATTAATGGCGAATTGTCGCATATAAATTTCAACTTATATTACATGCCTTTTTGTTTACAATGTAGTTGGTTACGCAATAATATATTAATGCAAAATCAGAATTCATTGCTTTTTACAATTTGCTTAGTTTTTGATCAACAGCTGTCCAAAATGTGTCATTACATCTAATTTCAAGAAAATGCTGTAAAAGAATGTTATTAAAGCTTAAAATGAAAAGTCATGCAAATGCAATACTTATCCCTTCCCGTTGTTGTAATAAATAGCAATTACTGTGTCGGTAAAGACAGAAACATGATAGTGAATCACCTATAGTTCCAATGAGGATCATCAGAAAAGCTGAATATATTGAAATATATTTTTTAACAAACATGTATCTAAATAAATGTAGTGTTTATAATTTCTAAATACAAACATAGACATTGGGTTATCTCCCGTTTAACAGAAAAAAAAAATTAAATTACAATAACTTAACAGCAGTAAAGCATTAGGACGCGATCATTTCATTTAATATTCCGTGGGGGGAGGGGGGAACGGAGTTGCAGAAGGTTATTTTGCTGATTGACATTAACCTCTTTCAAGGCCGGAATATTCATTTTATTAATCCACCTGCCCCCCTCAGAAAATCAAAGAAAATAAAGGATAGGCTGGTCCTCTCCCTTGCAACATATACCTTTGTGTCAGAGCCAAACAGATAAAGGACAGGGAACCAGTCTAAATAAAGGATCTCCCTTTATACGTATATGAGATAGATAAGATATTTAGGTAAAGTAGATAAGATATTTAGGCAAAGTAAAAGTTATGTAGTCAGTCTCTAATGCTCTGTCAAATGTGGCTCAACATTTATTTGGAAGTGTTTACTCTGTCAGAATGGTTACATTTAATCGCCCTTTACCCTATGACAATCGTTTGAAAAGAATTGACTACAATACATAGATATAAGAAGATGTGGTATGAGTGCCAATGAGACAATTCTCCATACAATGCAAGTCATGCCTTTTTTTCGTCTCTTTCCATATAACAAAAACATAGATCTTTAAAGTGATAGTATCCATATTGCACCTTTTTTGACAGTTTTTTTCACCTACGTTTATTTATGATCCAGACAAAAGTTTCCATTCTGTGTTTATTTCGTAGATGCATCTTTGTTTACTATACAGTTCCACCAATTTAATGTTGAATCCATATTTAATCATTGAAAAATGAGTTTGAATCGACCTCCTAACGATCCATGATTTTGTAATGAGGAGTACCCAAATTTGATCCATGCTTAAATTTACATCTTTAAAAATCGAAAAACTGATGTTTTGTTTTATTTCTCCAAATAGTTAGAATAATTTGAAAACAGTCCATACTTACTATTCATTCATTATTAAGGAATGGATGTCTAGAACATATTTGAATTGCTCATTTTTAAAACTTGACTTTTTGTGGGCGTCGCATATCAACGTTTCCGTAGATTTCACTTTTTCCAGTGAAAACTTCATCTGCTGATATATTCTGTGAACGTTTTGTATATACTTCCATATATTTAGCTATGTTAGAATACGTGATTAATGTCAAATCATAAAAGTACTAGTTGCTTAGTCTCTAAGAAAACTTGTAAGATTTCCGCTGCTATTCTTGCTAAATTGGTGCAATTTGGGTATCCGATGCAGTTTGGGTACTGGAACGATAGTTAAGAGTGTGAATTCGGTTTGCGGGTGATGCATTATAATAGGTGACGCTTACCCTGTCGACGCACCAGGTCTATTTTCTTTTGAAGTTTATACGACTCTCTCAATTTCTGTTTAATGCCTTGATTTTTCTCTTCCTAATCGATTTACGAAATTTTAACATTGGTAAACTACTGTCGCCTTGGAAAAACAAAACAGAAGTTTTCAAATGCTTCATAGCAAATTTACAACTGAAAATCACGAAAAACATCAGAATATGAGATATACCATAGTACATTAACATTTTATCAAATCCTAAAAAATCATTTGTTTAGTCGTTTTAGTTTAATCATTTCTGTAGACTGCAGTCGTTTTCCCACAAAAAATGTCTTTTTCGGCGACAGAAAACATCGACTACCGTTCGAAGTAATAACCATAGAAATTTTCAGTACCTGTGGTTGAGTTGTGAATAGGAGTTGATTTGTTTAAATATATAACTGCTCTGTGATAGGACTTCGCGGTATTCAACACATACATTTTTCGCCAGCATAAACTTTCCTTTCTTCAAACCAATCATTTTTGACGAGGAAAAAATGCGTTTCTTATTTATATTCCCGATTATGGTATACGGTATGGTATTGGTTTTTCTCAATGTTGAAGACCGTACGGTTGCCTATAATTGCTTACGTCCACTTTGAACTTTGGTGGATAGATGTCTCATCGGCACTCGTACCACATTTCTTATTTTTATACTAAAACATGTTTGCTATTCTTTAGGGTGCAATAACGGTATACAATGTCAGAGAATTGATTAACAACAGGTCAGAGATTGAACAAACAGTTTGGAAATCTGTCCGGGAGAGATTAGGTGGAACCTGCTGTAACAGTTATTGTGGTAAAACTAACCCCTGTAAGTATTAATAAGTCATACATAGTCGTGGTAAAACTAACCCCTTTAAGTATTAAAATGTCATACATTGTCGTGGTAAAACTAACCCCTGTTAGTATTAAAAAGTCATACATAGTCGTGGTAAAACTAACTCCTGTAATTATTAAAAAGTCATACATAGTCGTGATAAAACTAACCCCTGTAAGTATTAAAAAGTCATACATTGTCGTGGTAAAACTAACCCTTGTAAGTATTAAAAAGTCATCTATAGTCGTGGTAAAACTAACCCCTCTAAGTATTAACAAGTCATAAGTACATAAGACCCATTGGTGGCTTTGGGCTGTTTTCTGCTCTTTGGTAGAGTTGTTGTCTCTTTGAAACATTCCCCGTTTCCTTTTTCAATTTTAGCATTGTAAACAATTAAGCATCTGTATAACCTCTAGGACATGACCATTAAACTATGTTTTTTTTATTACGGTTTAAGCGTTAAGCTAGATAAACCATACAGATACGACAATTACAAGGAATTTTATCAGAAAAATAGTCATACTCAGTATTCATTAACTTCCGGTCGCGTTCATAAACAAGTTTATATGTACATGCTTCATTTATTCAAATGTTTACAAGATATTATTTTTGTTCCAGTATGTACAAATTGTTTGACAGTTTGTTCACCGTCTCATAGAGGACTGAATGTTGAAGTTAAGTTTTTCCAGTTGGGGAGGATACAGATTCCATCAGAAGTTGAGAAACAGTTTATACGGGGATCTACATTAAAGGAACAAAATGAGGAAGAGAAGTTAAAGCAGAAAGCTGTTATCGTCAGGAAGGAAACGAACCAAAAGGTGAAGTAAATCTCATATACTAGTATATCAATAAGCAATGCTTTTAGGGCTCTTAACCCTCAGAAAACACAATTCCCCTTGTAATACTGGTATAATTGATACCAAATCTTGGGTAAAAAAAACCATATAAATAATAAAAATGTGATCAAAAGGCTTGAAGTAACTTTTAAATAAGTAATAACTAATCCAAAATACTAGGCTTATACTTTGGTACACCAATTGCGCGTTTCGTCTACATAAGACTCTTTCAGATGCCCCCTCATGTAAAATTGTTTTGATTTGTATTGATCTAAATTGACAATAGAAGGGAAATAGATATATACAAAACAATATATGATTTGAAGAGTGTTACTAAGTGGACAGCATCAATATAATGCAGGTGTTTGTTTATTTTAGATGCTAGTCCTTAATATTTTTTTAACTTTAGCTTTCACGATGGATGGTGTGTGTAAATAACCGATAATAACAGACACGCATATTAAACATTGAAATATATTTTATCATACTAATAATAATGATACAATGATAATAACAATTATTATTATTTTTATTTTTGAGATCAGTATAAATTCCAATTTTTATTGCTTGTAAATGTTGAAGATATACAGACAAGATACTTCGCATTCGGCTGCTTTTATCAGAATGAGAATCTCAAAATGCAATAACAGTCACTTACTTTATATCTCTTATCTAGGTTGCGGAAATAGAAAATGAAGCCAAAGAAATTAGTCAGAATGCTACAGCACAGGCAGCCTTGATACAATCGATTGCTCAGGCTAATTATACGGCTTTACTAGAGACGGCTAGGTCAGAGGGATTGAAACAAGTTTTCTCAAGTTTACAAATTACTCAACAAGATAAGAAAAACAGTTTTGATTACCTGAGGACGATTCGTGGATTGGAAAAACTTCATCTCACTGTTGATTACCAACAGAGAATCGCTGGAAACATAGGCTAATCAAACGAACACCTGAGCACAGCATTGTTGGAAACGATTAAATAATTGATGAATCAAAAAGGGTTTTGATTAGAAAATGAATAAAAATAAAGTTTTTATAAAAGAAAGCCTGTCACAAACGGCTAGAAATGTAAATGTTTACTTGCTTTGTGTTTGCTAATTGGTTTATTTGTTTTTGCTTTTGAATACTTTTTTTTTCACCTGAGCTTTGATTGATCTTTAAAAGTTAACGTCTTCTTATAAAAATATTTTTTAATAGCACAATTACAAAAAAAAATATTTTAAGGAAATGTATACCTCTTTAACTGAATACGAAATCTTTATCATTTATTATAAGGTTGAAGGTTGGAACTATTTGTTCGCATATTTTGATTTTTAGTGTTTATACTCCTTTTTTCTTTGTGTAAAAAAAAACGTTTTTTGAGGGGACAATTTTGTGAATATTGCATAGTTTAATTATGATATGATATTGTTTGAAAAACTGTCAAGGACGTTATGTTTAAAAAATGAAGGGTGTGCAATATCCTCTGATAACTGAGATATTCAAACTCATGAAAATTCTTTTAATATCTCATTCATTCCATCTTAATCCGATTCATTGTCTGACCCTTAATTCACTAGATTAATTTGGCCCTAGGGGAATATGCACCACGTTTTAGAGCCTTTTGTCACAAAAATATGTGCTAGTCGTTGATCTCATTTCGTAAATATTTTATTCATTCTATTCAAGAAGGTTTTTTTTGTATAAATTAAAAAAATAGTAATATGGTTTTGTCCTTTCGCAATATTTTTCTCGCCGCTAAAACGTACATCTTTATTTCTACGACAAATACTGTATTTTGGTATGCATTTTATCTATATCACATCCTTGATTTTTTTTCCTGCTTTTGCAATTTGCCCTGTTATTAACTTCAGGATCATGCTAATCAATGCTGAGCCGATTTGTGCAGTTATGAAGATAACAAACGCTTCTTTATATTAAAGATCTGAAATACACTAGAATCTTTACATTTGAATAATTCACTGCATAACACATGTTAAAACTGTAATGCTGGCCTCTAGATGTCTTTACGCTATTTTTGTAATTGAGTTGCTTTCCAGTTGACGTTTAATTCACAATTTTTTAAAATTCATATGCACTTTAGCGTTATATCTGTTTGATATTACAGAGTATGAAACTTAGTTACGATAAAAATGTTCTTTTCCCTTTTATATCAGTGTTTGATTGATGTTCTTAATAAAATTGAGAATGGAAAAGGGGAATATGTCAAAGAGACAACAACCCGACCAAAGAGCAGACAACAGCCGAAGTCCACCAATGGGTCTTCAATGTAGCGAGAAAATCCCGCACCAGAAGGTGGTCCTCGGCTGGCCCCTAAATAAAATTTTGTGCTAGTTCAGTGAAAATGGACGTCACACTAAACTCCAAAACATATAAATGAACTAAAATTAAAAAAAACATACTAGAATAAAAAAGGGCAGAGGCTCCTGACTTGGGACAGTCGCAAAAATGCGGCTGGGTTAAACATGTTTTGTGAGATCTCAACCCTCCCCCTACACCTCTAGCCAATGTAGAATAAAGAAACACATAGCAATATGCACAGTAAAACTCAGTTTAAAAGAAGTCCGAGTCCGATGTCAAAAAAGGTAACAAAAGAAACTAAGGAAAATGACAATGATACACAAATTAACAAAGGACTACTAACAGTTACTGACATGCCAGCTCCAGACCTCAATTAAACTGATTGAAAGATTATGTCTTCATCATATGAAAATCAAGTACAATCCCTCCCGTTAGGCGTTTGGTATCATACCATCATAAAATATATGAGAAGAACATAACCTGTATCATGCCAACAACTGGTTTTAGAATAAATGTGTTTATTTCCGATGCAAAGACCCTATGAGTGAATCAATATTAATACCAAAATATGCAATCCTTAATGACTTGACAACAATATCGTAACTATATCCTTTCCGAATAAGTCTGTTTAAAGGTTTGGTCAGCTTTTGAGGTGAATGCCGACATTTTTGTGACTTTTAAAGAATATTACAATAAAATATTGGATGTGAAATACCTGAACGTATAAGATGTCTGCATGTTGATTTATATTTACGAATGATGTCCTTGTACCGATTATAAAATTAAGTAAATGTTTTGACTAGTTTGTGATATCGAAAACCCTGGTGTAATAATTTTTCAGTAATACAGAGATTTCTTTCGTTGAAATCAAATACGTTGTTACATACACGAGCGAATCGAACAAGTTGAGATATATAAACACCATAAGATGGCGACAAGGGAACGTCACTATTTAAAAATGGATAATTAACAATAGGAAATGAAAAATTATCTCTTTTATCATAAATTTTGGTATTAAGCTTCCCGTTGAAGATAAAGATATCAAGATCCAGGAAAGGGCAGTGTTCATTGTTAGTATTAGCTTTATTTAAAGTCAGTTCGGCAGGATAAATCTCTTTAGTGTACATACTGAAGTCGTCATTATTGAGAGCCAATATATCATCTAAATATCTAAAAGTGTTATCAAATTTTTGAATACATTTGGCTTCGTTATTCATTGTTTTAAATCGACATCGGGTACAATATCAAGCGAGTTATGAATTTACTGCAGAAATTCAGTTCTATAAAATACGTTTTGCTCCTGACCGGTCACGATCGGCCCAGTCTATTTTTAGATTCCACAGTTGATTATGACACTAAATTTCTAACAGCATTCAAAAATTCCTTAATGTACATTTTCCAAACCAATCCATCAAATGACGAATTCAAAACTCGACATTAATCTGTAATGCGTCGCATGAAATACACTAACAAAGACGGTATGTAATATCATGATTTAAAAATACAAAAGAATTTGTCAGGTACCATATCAATTGAAAAAAAAACAATTACAGAGAATTAAATGCTGATAAGATACTACGATTGAAATAGTATATCAGAGGAATAGGTATTCAGATAGAGACCATCTTCATCCCACTTTTTGTGTTATATATAAAATTCCATAGGACATAATCAAACGTAATGACAAATAAAACAATTTAAGTTTCCAGAACGAGCACTTTTCCCTTTCCTTGTACATGTAAAAGTAACCACTCATCACTGTGTATAATGTTTACACATTTAAGTTTGTTTGTTTCTGAAGAGTAAACATATATGACACATATGGCCACGGATATGTTCCAACCACAGTCCCGTCCTCTTTTCCTTGATATTACTACACTGAATGAGACTAATCACCAATTTGTACCAAAAAATCAACACCAAGACGGATGCCACCAGTAGAGCAGGATTTTCTTACTCTTCCGGATCACCTGATATCACACCCCCCCTTTCCGTTTTAGTTCCTTCGTTTTGTCCAGTTAGATTTCTATTATGTTTAATTGATGTTTTGTCTTATCGTCGTCTTTTGTTGTGTTTTTGTCATGACGTTGTCAGTTTCTCCTGAACTTAAAAGTTTTGAATGTCCCCTTTGTATATTCTAAATCTTTTTTCTCAGGGTATTATAAGTTTAGGGTTTTGAACTTCAATATCAATAAGCAAGTAAATGAGTAGAGTATTTTTTTAATTTCATTTAAAACATTAGTTAAACTATGAATAACAAAAACAAATATGTATTTCAATTATAACAATAAAAACAATAGATGCATCAATTGTAGAGAAATATTTTGCTGAGAACAAATATTTTTCTTTCTTCTAAAGCACGAAATTCGTAAATGAGTTTTTGGATCATGAGAGTTCTATCAAACTATCAATGGTGGTGGATATAGCAAGGATAGCTTGGAACTACTAGTAAATCTGATATCTTAACAACAGTCCCTTTTGCTGTTTTTGTTGGTGCTCTTTAACGGATGCATTTCATCGCCTTTGATTAATTTCTAGGGTTCATGAATATGGATTTAGGAAGCTTTCAGTTTGATTAGTTACTCGACGATGCAATAATATATACACGATACAGAATATTATATTCCTCTATGACAACTCTTAAAGTGTTACTTTGCACGTTGTACCCTTTATTAATAAGTATACTTTTGAATAATCGTCGCGTACTGTTTTCAATATTAATGTACATTCATAAAGCAACTTGAAATCTTGCATCTGGCGTTCACGAATATCACATTTGTCACCACTTTCCACACCATGATTTGATTCGTTTTCACTAACGTGTTCTAAACTGTTACCAGATTCTTTATCACTTTTCTGACTTGGCTCGTCTGTTTCGCTGTTAATACTTTGTGCGTCTGGGAAGCAACAACTTGGTGGATTCATGATTTGTTTTATTCTAATATCAAGCAAAGTCATGAAATCGGTTTTTAGTTTTTCAATTAATGTGTCGTAATTAGTATGATTAGGGTTTTCATCTATAAAACGAGGTTCATGTTCACGGACGTCCTTAAGCCTGGCAAGTACATCTGTGATTTTATTGTAAGATCTTTTTAACCAATCGTTTTCCTGGAAATAAGAGTAACCAAAACATTAAAAATAACAACAAAACTCACTTGATGTTTACTATTTTCTCTTTTTCTGCATGTACACAATATAATGAAAACGAAAAATATGCGGCAATTTCGGTATCCTTCCACTTCAAATTCAATTACCTCAAGATTTTTTTTATGGCACGAAGTTATTTCGAATTTTTAATTTCCTCTTACTAACTTGGACAACTGAACCAATGTTAATATGTTTATTAAATTACTTTTTTATGTTAAATTTTTTTCGATTCGTCCTTTTTGTGTTGCTGGAAGACCTTTGGTAGCTTCTGCTCTGTTTTATTCGCTACTAGTCTAGATTATGGGCTATTAGGAATTTGGTAAAATAATATATATATATATATCTATAATGACACATTATAGTTGCTGTCATTGAGTTGGCCTCTAAATTTGTATTTGTTGTTGTGTTGAGATCTGGTCTATGTATACCCCACAATTCCGTTTATCCAAACACTTGGAAAATTATTTAAAAAAAAAAAAAAAAAAAAAAAAAAATAATGGAATGGATTGAAACATCATGCTGAAAAAAACACTGACCAAGGCGAAAAGAAATAATCGAACAAACAAACATTTATTTAAATTTCATCAGAAAGGAACTACGACTTATTCAAAACATAGACTAATAGGAACATAAAAAAACAAAGATAAAATCCAAAGCGACAGAAATAAACTTTAACAACATAGCCTTTAAATTTACCGCTTTGCAACAAAAGGATAATAATTATATATTAGAATCTTTGTGACCGACGGCAAATTCCTGATTATTAAATTTAAGCGTAATGTGATGTTATATACAAACTGCATGATTAAATTTGTTTTGACGATCTTTGTTCATATTAATATTGTCAAGATCTTACCTGTTTGGTAGAAAACACCAAATGGTCTATAACAAGTTCAATGTGTGCATCAGCCGGAAACGGTCTCATTAGAATTTAACAGGATACTTAAATGTACTTGCCTTTTGTATATGATTGACTATTTCCTCTGCCTTCTTTTCTGGGAGCGGTTTAGTCTTTTTTGACTTTCTTAAGTCTTTTTCAATTTTCTTTCTGGCATTTTTAATAATTCTTTTACTTTGTATCACTTTGTCTGCCTGATGAATATACATAATGATATTCTAAACATGTTTGATTGGTAAAACTTAGTAAATTTAATCGAAAATGTGGATTAAACATTTTAACTATTTACAATTATTGTAACACATAACACTTACCAAATTACTGAAATGACTGTTGAGGTAAATAAAACAAGAACTATTTATTGAAAATCATAGACAAACAAATATTAAAAACAAACGCCTCCGATTTTTTACAAACTAACGATTTTAGCATAGTAAGCACCAAAATAGATAGTGCTATCAGTTATTTCGTAAACGGATGACTTGAAAATATGTCATCGATTTACACTTATAAGGATCTCCAATATTTATGCAAATCTTCAAAAAAATCATAGCTTAGATTGGATATTTCTTTAACTGAGCAGTGTATGTAACAGCAATCGCAACACTCGACTGAAATTGACTGTTGTGGATAAATGTCCTTCAGAGGTACATATAAAAAAATTACCAAGGAGGCGACAATTAATGCATTATCAACAAAAACAACTTAAACAACAGCCAAAGCTGCCACTCCCTGTAATGGTAAATCTGTATATGTTTTCCCGCTAATAGGTCCGAATATATTAAATGTATGATTATGTCAAGCTAGCTATCCTGTCACTGCGTTCGTTTTTGGTGGATTAATTAGAAATAATACCACATGTACTAGGTCAACTTTCTTTGAAAACATTGTTAACATATAAAACTTTGTCAATGCGACACCGTATGGCGATATTGACATCACTTATTTTGTCAAATAACAAGGCACTAAAATTTTCAATGGGGAAAAACAAAAATGGCCATTTACATGGATGACATGAAAACATAATATGAGCTGTGTCGGATAGAAATCGACCTGATGCAAGTGCACGTATACATGTACATATATAAGACTTTGATTGATTTTGGAACATTCATATACGAAATAAAAGATGAATTTTGGTCTGTTTTGTAGGGTTCTTATAACAACTCTATTTTCAAACAATTACAGACTATCCGTAGAGATTTTTTCAACCCAAAATAGGTGAACAGATTCTTTGCATAAGGTCGACGCAGCTCATATGTTTAATAAAAAACTTTCTCATTGATCAAGTTACGATAGATAAAAAACAGTTAGAAATATCATGAGAATAGAGATAATCGCATTGTATTTGAAGTTTGACCTACGTAAAACTTGGGTTTTACTGTTGAAAGCTTAGTTTACCTGGTCGTACAAAGAAAATGGGCGTAACACGGAACAGCCAATTTTTTGTAAAACTTTTTGCGCTAAAAGTAGATATACTGTGATTATACCGTTTGACGATAAATAGGTCGTCATATTAGAACATCAATTGAAATATAATAAGAGCAAGACGAGCAAAATACATTTAAATATTTTAGTGTTAAGTTCAAGATAAACCAATATCTCTATTAGACTAAATAGGATAACATAATAACAATTAGTAATAAAATGTTCAGATATGAACTTAAATTATTGCAATTGACCTATTTAAGCGAATAATAAGACTAGGAAAACTGCCAATCTTATTCAATTAAGGTGGTATCAAACACCTTGACTAAAATTAATTTTGCTCGTTTACTTTTCATAAAATTTTGACAAAATATTTACTTTGACCCTTTGACAAAAATATAAACATTTACAAAAAAACTTGAACCACACACTTTATCGGAATAAAATCATTGAATATAATTTTGATCACTGAGAAGCTTAATATTTCCTTAACAATAGAACGTGATTAAAACGTTCAACTATTTTTTACATAATTATCTCCCTGTAGTGTTATGTACCACCTTAAGATTTGAATCGTAAACTGCCACATACGGGTTTCGAACTCACAAACTCAATGTTGACAGTCTAGTGATACAGTAGATGAACTACTTACACGTAGACCACTCTGCTACCGAGTCCCCATTTTACGGGAAGTGTGCTTGTTTGCTTAAATCATTGTTTAATATAATAAAAGAGTAGCAATTGTAAACATAAGACAATAAGTTTATAGTAAGGCAAAACCAAAAGGAAAAAAATAGATAACTTAGGACACATCCGCACTACATTCAAACGCTTTCCATCAAGTAACTGACTAAAGTTCAATTCAAGACATTTTGAAGAACCATTATGAATATATTAATTTTGAATAAAGATGTGTGTTATTATTGCCAATGAGAGAATTACCAAATAGGAACCACATGGTGTAGATATAACTTGTTTTTATTTCAGACACTGCCGACGTCTCATATCTTTATGAATATCTATTAAAAGGCCTGGTTCTTATACCGATGATTTCGGGAGTCCATACCACACAATTAATGAAAAATGTATTCCTCATCTATACTAAAAATACAAATTAAAATTTTAAAAGAGAGGCGAGAGATACAAAAGGGACATTCAAACTCATAAGTCGAAAAAAAACTAACAACGCCATGGCTAAAAAAGAAAAAAAAAACCAAAAAGACAACAACAGTACACAAAACACAACATAGAAAACTAAAGACGGAACAGTACGAACCCCACCAAAAACTAGGGGTGATTTCCGGTGCTTCGGAAGGGTAAGCAGATCCCATGGTACCTGTCATGTTGCTCATGTTACTACAAACTCGATGATAAGTCTAATTCGGTATGTATCATTTGGGGGAAAGGGGACGGGATTGCAGTTCCGACAATTGTAACATATCAGTTGTCGTCTGTGAAACATATTTTTCATAACGGTCAACCAACTCGTGATGGCGTCCGTAAAATTTACGAAGGGATGATTTTAACTTTACCACTTTAAGCAATGAATAAAAACTTAAACAGATGTAAAAAATTAAAAGCTAATAAAAGAAATTCATACTTACAAAATTCTGCTGAAGTTGATCAGCCTTTTCATGGCTTTCATGCAGATAAGTTTTCAAATCTTTGTATGTTTCTTCACGATCTAGTGGAGGAGGAGGTAGAAGAGTAAGAGCATTCCCTCTACTCAGCCAACCGAAACAGATTCCCATTATTTCTTTCCTAAATATATATATATATATAATACCTTTAATAGCTGACTATACGGTTATGGGTTTTGCTATCTATTTCAAACATCTAAAAGATAATAAGTTATGGCATCTGGTAGTCATGTTTTCCATGTTTAGTTTTGTTTCATTCGCATAGTCATTAAGTAGTTACTGTACTGAAACTTTCATAAATAAGTAAATTGGACAAATACAGTGACAAACCCGATAACGCGAAATCGATAGAAAATTACTCGTCTGATGAATAAGTCGACAAAATTAATAGGAAACCAATGCCGCTGACGTAACTGAATAAAAGTTATTTCTTAACAATTAACGTACATATTAAAGAAAGTATTTGTTAAAATGTGATCTAAGAAATATGCAAGCAAAGACATAAGGTTTCATTTTTCATTGTTTATTGACATAATTTGATTAGAAGCTTGTGAAACTGAAATTTAGAAAAATGTTAATCTTTGCTGCATATTGAAAAAAAAAACATTTGCCTTAGCATGTTACAATTTCCCAAAAGATATCTATTTTCCATAAGTACGTTTTTGAGTCGGCCGTGTATGTACATGTATTTACTTGCTGCTAGATGTGTTCGCACTCAATGTTTACATCAGGATAACATCCGTTAGAATTTGCTAAGTAACTAATTCATCTCATAAGATAACAATATATAGAAATTTGATTTTATTTCAATTTATTTTCATTGTTACTATTTACCAGAACGATTTAGTGTGAACTTATAATTAATAGCGTCCTTTGAAAAGATCAAGTATTCAGTTTTTGAAGTGTAGATAATATTGTGACACTAGATTTGCAACTGAATACGTAAAAACTGACCGCTTGTTTTCTCGTTTGAATTTAGAAATTTGTATTGTGGGATCTTATGTAACAGACTATACGATATTGTTTTTGCTAATTGTTCAGGCCTGTACGGTGACTTATGCTTAATCGATAGTGGTATCATTGATTATCATACCACATCTCCTTATTTTTGTACTAATCAGTTATCGAATTGTTACCTTTATTAATAAGTAAAATAGACAAATACGCAGCTATTGACAGTTGGTTTTCTCTTTGAATTGTTTCGTATTTTGTCATGTCCGGACCTTTAATAGGAGACCATAAGGTATGGGGTTTGTTATCTGTTGAAGCCCGTACATTGAGATATGGTTGATTAATTTAACGTCATTCGGAATTTGATAGATTCTTGTCTCATTGGCAATCATACCACATCTCCTGATTTTTATATTTATCCGTAACTGTACTGTAACCTTTATAAATAAGTCAAAGCAACAAATACGTACTAGCTGTTTCACATTTCGTCATGCCACGAACTTGTGAATAGACTCTTCGGAAGGCCTTTGCTATTTATTGAATCCCGTACTTCCATGCACGTTCTCATTATCAATCATACAAGACCTCCTAATTTTCAAATGCATAATTAAAAGAAAATTTAAATTTTATGTATTTTTAAAAATGAGTAATTATGATTTTATATATTTATTTTAGTCTGCTTTAAATGTTTTTATATGAGTAATTATCGTATTGTGCTGAAATATCCAACGGAGGAAAACAGTAAACTTATTTAAGTAAGGATATTTTGTTTGTTATCATATCAAGTAAACAAGTTTGAAGTTTTCAATATCTTTATAAATTGATAATTTCATAAATGATACATATTTGTTTCAGTGAAAAAAAGAAATATTAAAAAAAGAGAGAGAAAATATTAAGGGGCAATTATTTCATTGCATGTATGTTTCATTATAGTACGTTATTTTGATTGGCTAACAGCAATCTCACGTCATTCTGAAATTAACCTTCATTTTAAAATGAAATGTAACATTCATGATGACACGAGCCTCCACAATTAAGTGCACAGGTAAATAAAAGAAAAACTTGATAGAAATCGTGTTTTCTTGATCCTAGCAAAAAAAAAAAATGTAATTATAAGTATTGAATGCTTCTTTTAGTAATTTTATAGGGTTGTAAAAGCGTTGACCGTGCGCACAGTTTTAAAATGAACCGCTTCCGCGCTTCATACACAATTTAATTTGGTCAACGCTTTAACACCCCAATAAATTTACAAAAAGAAGCATTCAATTCCTAATTGAAGTCTCTCGGTCCTACTATGAACTCTGACTCTAAGATGCACAATTAATTTGGACTGACATGAATGGCGAGCTGTAAAACCTGGTTCATCCTGTTACTTTCATCTAAAACGCCTATTACATTGTCAGTAATATGATATTCAATGTCCACCCATTTCCTAAAGAATTCCTTGTAAAGATTTTTCTAACAACTAACCAGTATACATGACAATCGTAAAAAATAAATTTAAGAATATGTTTTAAAATTTACATCTCGTTTTATACTGTAAAAGTTCCATATTAGGTGACGAAATTAAATAGCTGTATAATGTTTTGGTGAATCTGCTTCCAAACGAAACTACTAAAGATTATTAACATTGTAACCGATTATGATGGCCTTGATTAGGGTATTTTATTTCTATATTCTTTAATTTTTGTAGGCTATGTTTCTCTATTTCTATTATTTTTGTGGCACTTTTTTCTATTCTGTGAACGCCATTAAGTCCATTCAATTTTGTTTTCATTTAATTTAAACTTTCTTATCTGAGATAAAAAAAAAAAACAATACTGTTTAGAAACTTTGCACGTAGTCAATTAAGATTTTGTTTTCAATCTCAATGGCTTTTAAGGTATAATACACTATCCGTAAATCGAATGGACAGTAATATATCAACTACACGTGAAAAATCTGAAAAGAACGATTTTCCCATGCAGAGATAATAACAAACAAAAATCTTAAACACATAAAAACTATAGGCTGATAATATTTATATTCATATATCTAAAAAGATTTTAATGCATAATGCATTTTGTAGGCTGCGATAACATAAATATATTATATATATAAAAAATGAACACAACACATTATTAATTCTATGTGTCCGAAGCTCTTTTTTGAGTTTGCGTTCATTAGGAATGCTCAACGCTGTATCTGTGAAAGCCAAGAGTGTATAAGTACCCAAACACACCAAGAGCTATATCATCAACAGGAACATAAAATGATAGCCAAATCCATCTTAGTTGAACTTTTCCTAGGAGAGTTGAAACCTTAGTTTCTAATTAATTTCTTAATTTATAAAAATCATCAATTTAAGAAAATTTTAATGTCTGTTATAATTCATGTACATGTACATTAAATTTGGGTTTGTTGCAATATTTATTAATCTAAAAACGCTATTGATATGATATAGGATATTAATTGTACAATATGATTTTCTTTGTTTTAACAAGTCACCTGCAGATTCTTTAATGCTTTACTTACAAGATTTGGTTATGTCCAATATTATATGATGTGTGTAAGTTCGTGTTTAAGAATATATATATAGTGAAAGAAAGCTAACAACGGGTTTTCCTAATATCAAAGAATCATATGGATAAGGAGTTTTATTTAGCATGTGGATTTTAGTACTCTAAAAGTCCCACTCTGCTGATCAATTACATATTAGGGTCTGGATGGGGGGTTTTCGTTACTGTATTCTTTAATTTCTCTATTCTTTATAGATTTTGCCTGTAGTTCTCTATTCTTTATATTTTAGCTCCCCATTATTCTCCATTCCTTTTTTGTTTTGTCCTTTATTCTACACATTTTTCCAGTTATTCTTCATTATGTAAACCCCTTCCACACCATCACATATTACTTGTATCATCGAATACAATAAGACTGATATAGGAAACACGACACTTGACACAATTTAAAGTTAATATTAACGTACACAGATATAGTATGTAATCAACTTATGTATTTCATCATGTTGTTTAGTTGATATTTCTTATATTGGTCATACTTCATGGTAATTGGCTGCTTCCTGGATTATGTTATTTTCCTGCCTGTCAATCTTCACACTTGTTTTTGATTAATGACATAGTTTTACGTGTTTGTTGTTTTATAATGAAACACATTTGAAAAATGATTAAAAGTGTTGGGAAATTGTCATTCTAGTTAAAGTTTTTAAGTTAGTTATAGGCAATATTTTTTTCAATTTCCATACGTACTCTGCGGAACATATATATTTATTCCAAAATGTAAGATAATTGAAAAAAAGTATGCAAATTTCGTTGATAACGCTGTCGATTTCGCTTAATTCGCTTAACATTTTATAGATACTTTTTAAAATATAATGATTCTTGCAAAAAATTGGCATAACCATGATGAGAAGAATTGACTGATAAATATTTACAGTTAATAAATAAAAAATCATAATCGATTAGTTAGTATTTATATACATTATAAATAAAGTTAAATAATGCTTGCATCAATGAGAATTCAATGTATTTTTTATGTGAAATGAATTTATAGGAACATAACAAAAAAACCATAATTTTCTATTCCTTTTACTGAATAATTTTCAAGGAAAAAAATCCAAAAATAACGTGACTAAATAGGATAATGATACAAATGCACAAAGAATTGTCGGAATTATCACAATCATTAAATTAGGGGAGTCTCACCCCCAATTGTCCATCTTCTTGTTCCATTTCAGGAACTTTGATTGATTCAGTCGTTAGCTAACTCTTTGATAAATATTTGCTTTTTTGGGGGGGAAGGGGGGGGGATTGAGGAATAAGTAAGGTTGTGTGTTGTTATTCTTGTGATAATAGCGAACTGCCATTACCTTAATAAAATTTAAGTTTTCCTTTAATGAACAGAATGATGAAAACAATGACCCCTTGTTACCATTATAGTAATTAAGCTCATCTACACAAAGAAACAGTTTCACTTCCCCACATTGACCTTGAAGCTATTATTTTTATTTGTTGAACTGATTTTTGGACGGTACAAGTCGAACCGTCATGTTTTCTCCCGAATTGGGATCCATATTGGTTAAATTATAGACCCTGACCTCATGACAATGCAATAGTGCAAAATTATTGGGATTAGATTACCCTTCATTAGTCTCTGATACCAGTTTGTTTATCTATATCAGCATGTTATTGCAAAATCTTTAGATTTCTGGGTAACAGTTTTGTATTTTGAATAATTTGTTGTTTAATTTTGATGGAAAATACAGAAATGTTTTAATCCTTCAAATAACATTACATCTGCTAACTAGGTATAAGTAGTGTTCTTTATTAAGTTTGTTCCCGAGACATTCTAGGAAATGCTCTAAAACAACAATTGAACATCTGCATCCTTATGTATCTAAATACCAACAGAACAAACTATTTAATGTTCTATTTATAACGTTTTTAAAGTATTCTTTCTCAAAATCTAGTAAAACCTTTGTCTATCCGTATCAACTTCACAAATAATACATGATGGTCTTGAAGTATAGGTTGTTGGTGCTGACGTTGTTTATCATCTTAATTAATTTTTAAGCTATTAAATCTAGAGTTCCGAGTGGGGAAGTTAAAATCATCCCTTCGTAAATTGTACGGACGCCATCCCGAGTTGGTTGACTGTTACGGAATATTCGTCTCACAGATGATAGCGGATATGTTCCTAATGTGACCTACTGAATTAGACTTATTACCGGGTTTGTACTAATATTAGCAAGACGGCGAGTGCCACATGTGGAGTAGGATCTGCTTACCCTGCCGGAGCACCTGAGATCACCCCCAGTTTTTGGTAGGGTTGGTGTTGCTCAGTCTTTGGTTTTCTGTGTTGTGTTATGTGTCTGTGTGTGTGAGTTTTTTTTAGCCATGGCGTTGTCAATTTGTTTTCGACTTATGAGTTTGAATGTTCCTTTGGTATCTTTCGCCCCTCTTTAGTTAAAAAGTTCTTTTTATTTGTCTTTGTATAGTTTTAACCTTTAATGTTTAGTCCTTTTTTGGTAATATCCTTCTGGCGTGGCTCGGTATTTATACATCCCACCATTCTGCTATTGTGCTATGGTCATTTTTTGTATTCCTGTCTTTCATTTTTGCTTATGTGCGTTGTCTATAGATTGTTTTTTGCCATTTTGTTTTTCTTTGTTGACATAGTTGTTTGTTTTATAGTGATTAAGATTATAACGCAATGTTGACTGCTGTACCCCATTTTTGACATTTTTACCTATTACGTCTGTTAATTTTGCTCACACGTTGTTGTCAATTTAATGGAATTCCATGCGACTGTTAAACAAGTGAGAGGTTTAGCTAGCTATAAAACCAGGTTTAATCCACCATTTTCTACGTAAGAAAATGCATGTACCAAGTCAGGAATATGACAATTGTTTTTCATTCGTTTGATTTGTTTGCGCTTTTAATTTTGCCATTTGATAAGGGACTTTCCGTTTTGAATTTTCCTTGGAATTCTGTTGTTTTGTTATTTTACTTTCTATTACATTAGAAAGCATAAAAAATCTTAAAATTTGTAATTTTTTTTATAATCAATAACGTGACCAGTTGATGTTTCAGAACATAA